AACATTTTTCCTGTAGTCCATAAATCTTCTTGCTGTAAACTGTTAATTTTACAGCTTCAGCTATACATTTCTCATTGGAACAAGTGGGTTAACGCAAAGGTGGTGTTTTTTTGCTTTAAAAAAAAAAGGCAAATAAATACATAGAATACTTTAGAACAACCAGGAGGTTTTACAGAGAGGATGGATGGATGGTGATATATTTACAAATTAAAGAAGAACAAAACAGTCCGATACTTTCTTTCTGATGTGAGCAGGAGGAACGAACATTTAAAACGCTGTACTGCAAAGGAAGGAGTCTGCTCTGTGGGTCTGACGTGGGGTTTAGACTGCGTTTGACAACCAAAGCCCGATGCCCGCTTGCGAAGGACATGGAGAGACAGGCGCTGCTGGGCAAGGGGGGAGCTACTGATGCGGTGGGTTATTTTGTTAGGACCAGGAAAGCATCGTTATGCTTCTTAATCAAACAGGTCTTAGTGCAAGAAATAGAATGTGGTCTTTTTTTTGTTTGTTTTTGTTTTACGAGGTTTATTGCTTAACTGAAATCATTTGCTGCTAGTACACAATTAAGCCTGGTACGACGCACGTTGCGGGTTGAACTCGCAGCTCTGCTGGGACCTGCGCACCAAGGAGAGGTGTCGGGCCTTGCCGGGAGAGCCGCTGGCACGGGTGGAGCGAGGGCTGCGTGCCAGGTAAGGCACGGCGAGGGGCACGGCGCTGGCGAGGGGCGATGCTGCGCGGCTCTGCCCTCGCCCCCCTCCTGCTGCGCGGCAGGAGCTGCGGCTCCTCCTCAACAGGCTGATCGCTCGGGTCAGAAGTGACCGTAACGCGGGGACAGGGGGGTCTGTCACCTGTGAGAAGGCAGTGCTGGCGGGGGCTGTGTTGTGGGGACGTTGTGATTGACAGGACAGACAGTTGGGGTTGCTGTGAGCAGGATTTCAGAGCTTGTACCAAAACTCTGTTATTTTTTTTTTTTCACGCTGCTTTTCTGTCTCTGACTGCAACATCACTTCAGAGAGAACAGGAGCAGCCCCAGATCACGTAAACACAGCGAGTGTCCCCTCGTATCCCGTGCTTGCGCTCCCGTGGTTCCTATCAGTCGCTGTACGCATGCAGGGCTCCAAATAGCACAAGGCGGCATGTCAGGCGGGGACAGGCTGTGTTCCTGGGCTCGGATGCAGCCGGCAGAGTCTGGATCTGTCTCCAGAGCATGGATGAGGTTTTGGCTCAGACCGTTTTAGAAACAGGCTCAAATTTGTATGTTGAGAGTTGGACCCAAACCGCTTTTTCCCCAGCTTCTGGGAGCACTTGATTCTGGGGCTTGGCTCTTCTTTCTCTGTGTATGTATTTATTGTTAGGCCCTAATTTAAACCTTTTATGATGTATCTTTTGGAAAACAAAAGGTGAAAGCGTGCCCTGCTCCAGACAGGCTGTGCAGATCCCAGAAAGGGATGGTTGCCCCTGGGACAGACCCCTTAGGGGAGGGGTCCTGCCCTTCAAATGGAGGGTGGCTGGTGCAGGGCCCTCCCAAGCATCCCTGCTCATCCTGGGGGTTATGCTCTGGAGAGCGGGAGATGAGGTGACTGGCCTGTCCCCTCTGGAAAGGGACTGCTGGGGATGGAGAAGCAAAAGCAGCTCCTGTGGGGTGACACTGGGGACAGGCGGACACAACCGCTGGCACGGGGCACACCCAAACAGGCAGAGATGGGTGGGGAAGACCTCTCAGCACCACCAGCCCTCTGACGGGGTCTCCCTCCGTCTCCCAGTGCTCAAAGGGCTCAGCAGAAGCGAGGGCTTTGCTCCCTGTGACGCAGTAAGTGCCTGGGCAAACATCTACTGAATCTTTATTAAAGGCAGTAAAAAACGTTAAGCTCAGGATGAGTTTTGAACTTTGTGAGAGTTTTCTTTGGGCTTCAAAACTGTAGGGGAAGTTTCAAAGAAATGTTGAAATTTTTCCTATACCTTATAATTTTGGAGTAATTTTTATACCAAGCTAATACAAGGCTACGAGTAACTTACACCGAGCCGCTTGTCCCCGGGGTCCTCTGCAGGCATCTCCTTCCTTTTCTGGTTACTTAAAGTAACGTGGTGGTAGGACTCTGAATGGTTTTTGTGAGACTTTTTGGGGTGAGGACAGGACTGGCTGGGCTGAGTCCAGCTCCTTCCCTCCCTGCTTGCCAGGGCTCGCCATGGGGCACGCACTGCGAAGCTTCAGGCTGAAACACCTCTCCGTTTCCAAACGGATGTGAAGAGGTTTGCTCAGTAAAATGGTGGTTAATGACAGGACAGGCTTTAATATAAATGGCACGTAATGCAGATAGAGGACACAGCCCTGCTTCCAGCAATGCCTGACCAACTTCCCTGAGGTTTGGAGGTGTTGCGTGGTAGCCAAGGGTCTCGTGGTCCCTCTTAGTGGCTGGTGCACAAAGCGGTGAGGATCTGGTGCGCTGGGTGTGGATGAAGATTCCCAGCTCCAGCGGCAGAGGCTGTTCTGCAGCAGAGGCTGCTGTTTCTTTCTCTCCTCGTTTCCACTGGTAGTTGGGCAAGAAGTCATGCAAACTCAACGTTGTAAGGACAGCCGTAGGCTTGGGAAGCGCTCATCCACGTGCCCGAGGGCTGCGTAACGTTTGGCCTCGTGTGTTTGCTTAAAAAGCGAACACGTGTCGTGGGAACGGGCTGGGAGATGCTCCTTAAAGCGGATCCGTGGTGAGTGGCAGCAGTAGAAACGGGCTTGTTGCATGAATGCCTTTACACTGACGGTAACAGGGCGAGACGTACGGCTCCGACTCTGTAAGGTGACGCAGACGGGTTCCTGTGCGGTGGAGAGGGGACATCCCTGTGCTGCCCTGGGGTAGCAGGAGCTCCCCCAGCTTTAGGAGGGGGCTCTGCCTCTCCACACCAGCCTAAACCCTCCTTGGTTCGTATGGTGCATGGAACTCCTTTGCTGTTTGGTTTGCATCCCCGTTTTCTCTGTGTGATGCAGCAGTAGGTGCCGTGCGGGTGCTGACCAGGTCCAGGCTCTTCCCCAAAGCGCAGGATAGTCGTGCCATTAGCAGCTTAAAGAGTGTGGCAAGGTCCATCTCAACAATCCATATTAGTAGAAGTGTTCTTGTTAGTGGTATGTCTTCATAGCAAACCAGCTTGAAAGCTAAAAGAATAACTGCATTAATCCTATTGCATTTAATCCATTATGCCGAACGAAAAAACATCCTCCTCGGAAAAAGAAATGAAAGAAAAATCCATCCTAACGTCATTCGCCGTCTGTGAAACAGTCTGAAGAAATCTGATCTCTCTTAGCGAAGGTACCTTTGGTTTCAAAAGTGCAGGAAGTGGGAGAATACACATGGCCTTGGCCACTAAGTACGGTCTATTATAAAACTCTACCTTCTACAAGGATCCATGCTGTCTCAGCTGGGAGAGCTGCCCAGGCATCCTACTCCTACTGGTCTGGCAGATCGAAGACCATCGCGTTAGGGGCGCGTAAGCGGTGGGGGGGATAGTATCAGTTTATTAAACTTCTTGGGAAGTTCGAAGCTGTGTAAGGCATGTGAAGGAGCACTCCTATCCGAGCCGCTTTGTTACGGTGGGTTAACGGGTTAACTGAAATCGCGTGTCGTCTTGATGTGTGAATAAGACAGCGGAGGGGAGTCCCACGGTGAAGGGTCTTGCTCAGGCTGATCGGTGGAGGGGAGGGGGAAAGGCCACTGTCAGAAACGAGGAGGGGAGTTTAGTGGACAACACGGTCGATCTGGCTCATCCTTGGTGCCTGGGGAAGACGTGGACCTCTGGTCCTGCGCTCCCGCCGTGTGCCATCCTCCCTGTCTCCCCAGGGACACGCAGCCCCGAACCATTCAAGCTGCTGGGAGCTGCGGTGCAGGGTGACAGCAGGGAATCCTCCACCCGATCCCAGGGGGTGCTTCTCATCCTGACCAGGAGGCTTTGATTTATTTATTTTTTTTTTTAATTTGTTTTAAACAAGTGATTTCTGGTCCCCTCATCCTACGTTAACACTGGTCCTGCTTCCACTCCCTCTTTGCTACATAAGATTTATGGAATTGCCTTTAAAAGAAAGCAGGCGTGGTCTTGGGGGCAGTTGTCCCCCAAATTCTTACAAAGCGAAGACTAAACCAAAATGGTTTGCCTGCGAGCACACAGGCAAGCAACGCTGTTACCCTGGGCTCGGAGGGTGAGCAGCACCTGACTGTCCTTCCACAAATCCCACGAGCCCTTCTGCAACCTCTTGTCCTCTGAGGATGCTCTGGGGCCCGGCGGGGGGGCGGTGGCTGACGTCCCCGTGGGCTTTGCAGGGCTGAGTTACGGACCGTGGAGCCTCAGCACCGACGGGAGTTATGGTGCCGAGGGAAGCGGTGGGGACCTGCTCTTCCCTGCATAGGTGCAGCTGGATCTTTCGGGAAGGAGGCTGTGGCGCTGATGAGTTCAGGAGAGGCTATGGGCAAGGGATGGACGTCTCGGTAATACGGTGCCATGGTGTCGTCACCCAAAGATCCACCACTTTCCTCTTTTCGTGCATTTATGCTGCTCTCGCTGCTCTGCCCCGGCCCCGCTCACCCCTCTTCCCTCCCCAAACTCTTCTCTTTTTTACTTCTCCCCCCGCCCCCCTCACCCTCTTATCTGGAACCTTCCTGTAGAGATTAAAAAGCAGAAGTTTTGTAACTCCATTCCAAAAGAACAAAAAAGGGCCTCGGGGAGCCTGGGTGGCCGAGCCCATCGCGTGGCCCCTGCCGGGCTGGCGCTGGGTGCTGGGGCCAGCCCCGCAGCCGGGGGGCAGCTCGAGCGAGCATCCCGCTCCTCCTCCAGCCTCTCTGGCTCAGCCCAGATTTTCAGCTACAGCTACAACCCATCCGCGCCCCGGGAGTCCTTGCCGTTCGCTTGTTTGCTAAGGATAAGATGGCATCGGCAGCCACCTGGTCTGCCTGTTTGCTTGGAATATTTTTTTGGTTTATTTTTTTTTCTTTTTTTTTTTTTTTTTTTTCATTGATTTTGTCATTGTGGGTTGGTTTCATTAACGCGTTTCTGTTGGAGGTAGTGGCGGCGGCGGCTGTTGTTTAACCCCCATCCACTACAAACACCTCAGGCTGTTTGTGGTTTCAGTGCATCGCGCTACGCCAGCGAGTAGATAGCATTGACTGGGGAGGTGGCTTCCGAGCTCTCGTTGCCTTCGGTCTCCTCTTTGTCCTTCTTCACCGTGTACTGGCCGATAAAGGAGCCGTCCTCATTAAACTGCCCTTCGCCCCCCTCTCCGTAGTCCACCAAGCTATCGTCGCTCTCCTGCTGCTTTATCGTGCCGTCCAAGGAGGTCTGGCTGTTTGGCAGGGGTTTGTTGTCTTCGTCGCTGGGTAGCAGAAGACAGACAGACACAGTAAGGGTTGAGAATGGGGCTTACAACCTTCACCCAAGGTCTGGATATTCAAAAATAAATCCAGTGTACGAGTGTACTGACCAGAGAGCCCAAACGTGGGGTGCTCTGACTGCAGCCAGCAAGTCATGGTGTGTCTGACACCCACGTGAAGGTGGGGAGACAGCCTCTGCGGGGGCACGGACCCGTGCAAAGGGTGCTGCGGTTGGTATTTCTGCACACCCAACCTTTGTGCTTTTTCTTTTTGGAAAGCCTTTTTTTTTTTTTTTTAACCTATATTAGATACGATGCTTAGATCAGTCCAACTGGATGTACGTTATAAATATCCTTTCCTTGTCATTGCTTATATTCTTTCTTTCTCTTAGCATTTTAGCCAACCTTGGTGTAACCTGGTTTAGTGAGGTTTGTTTCCAGATTTCCTTGCAAAAACCACACTCGGCTGTTTAGCTACATGCAATGGGGAGCACTCTCAAAGCACTGCGAGGGGGCATGTATAGGATGCCAAGTTCTGTGCAGCTTCCAAAACTCGTGGGAATTTACCTCTCCAAGCCTATTTCTGAGCATCTAAGCTTGTTTGCTCAATTCTTTATCCTTTTTGTCTTTTTCACTAGAAAGATTAAGCCAGGTCACTGAAAAATAAATAGTCTGACCCACAGGAAAAAAAACAATGCTTTAAAGAAGCCCTTTTAACAAAAAAAACAACCCAGGGAAAAGCTGTTTTCTCTCTGGAGGGCAACGGCTGGTATCTCATAAATACAGGTAACGTTGTGTGGAGGATGAGAGTGGATTGCTATATATATATAAAAATAACTTTCCTATCAATTAGTCCTTAGTTCATGTTTGATCTTATGTCCAGCATGCAAATTCTGTAATATTCCTAAAGGTATCACACATGTACCTTAAATTAAACATTTGTCCTCCCACCTCCATTCCTGTCTTTTTATTGCTGCTGTTTTAGCTTGGGACTCCTCAGACTCGCTCCCCAGCACAGCACCCTACTCTGTCCCTTTATTTCCCTTAAAATTGGTAAAAGTACTGTGTTTGATTGCAGCACAAAGGTGTTTGCCTTCTGCGAAGGCATGAGAAACATTGTCCTTGGGCCAGGGAGCAAAATGCTCTTTAGCTGGGGAAGGCATGAGATCTCTCTCATACCATTTAATGAATGGCATCAGCTCTCTACAGTGGGAGAGGAATTTGGTATCCCACAGTACAACACGCGGCTTTCTAACGTATTTGCTTATATTAGCACTTTGTGAATTAAGCAATAATACAAAACCAATATTTGAGGCCCTGTGTTAACTTGGCATCACAATAAAAAATAACTCGTTAGCTTTGAAAGCAGCTTCTTTCTTAGGGGAAGAGGAAGAGAATTCAGTCTGCAAGCAGGACTGCCAGTTAGAAAGCCCAATAAATGCCAAGTAGAGAGTGGCAAAACCCAGGTCCCTTTATTTGCAATATCCTTCCCAGGGTTTGGGGTTCAGTTAAAGCTGAATCTAGAGCCAGATTTTCCCTTATGGGGGAGTTTGCAGCACCAAACACCCCGGCAATGCATATCCCGAACCTGCCCCCTGGTTTTACCTCTCTCCAGTACTATTTATCCTGTTAGTGCATTAGAAGGTGAAGCAGATATTCATCAACATCTTGATGCAATATAACTCTGTTAAAATGGATTTCCATTGGGTTTGCTGATGTGTGCATTAGAGAACCAGAGCACCCAGATGAAAACCATTTGGGAAACGTTGTCCTGAGTTGCATAAATCATTGAGAAGAGGGGGGAGGCTTGAGCCAGAGGGAGGATTTTCAGGACTGAGACAAAGAATGAGCAGATTGTTTAGCATCTAGCATTTTTTTTTGCTCGTGTCCCTTGCCACCATCCCCTGGGTGTCCAGCATCAGGGCGCTGAATGCACCGAGGGCATCATCCCCAGGTCCAACCCTTGGCTGGTCCTGCTCCACCAGGAGGGATCAGCTGCTCAAGCGTGGGGCTGGGGAGGGGGCCTGGCTGGTGCTCGGGGGTGCCCCCAGCCCACAGAGCATCTCCAAGCGAGATGCAACTCGCTGGACGTGGGGGGGACCCCCGGTGCCATCAGGAGTTAGAGGGATCTTGTTTAATGTGTTAGGTGGAGGCAGGTACATGGGAACAGGGAAGGGAAGGTATAGTTTCAGCTATAAAGAAATAAATAGCCAGAAGGAAGGAAAGTAAAATTAAAAAAAAAAAAAAGCTAAATGTGCCGGACTTCTGGCAGCACGTGGTCCTACCTTTCAAGAGACCTTCATGGTCCATGTGGATAGACCAGGTGAAAAGGAGAAGAAAGAATGGGAATAAAACAGAGAGAAGCAGAAAGAGCCTGATCAGAGAGAGATATGATGAGGTCTGCATTTACAGGGGCAGTGCTAAAAACCAAAAAGAAATGTCTGCATTCCTCATGGAGCTAATTGCCTCGTTATACCAAATGGAGCCAGTATAATTGTTCAGAGCTGGATGAGCCTCATTGGCTTCCCCGGGAAAGCTAATACAGAGCAGCAGTGGACGGTGCAGGTGGGAAGCGGGCTGTTTGCCATCAGGCTGTTCGGAAAAAAAGGGCTTGCGGTTGCAGTCCCGTTAGCGAGCGGCTGTAGGGAACAGCAGTCGCCGCTGGGGACTGACATACAGCAGGACAAGGGCCAAGTGAACGGGTCACCCTCTCTCCCCTCCAGCCTTCTGTTGGGTTTCCATGATATAGTCATGCACCAGTATCACGTTATCTGTTGACAAGCCTACGCCTCCCCAGGCTGCTTTGCCAGACCTCTCCTCCCCTCTGTGTCCTCCTGCCTTGGTGTCTGCTGAGATGGTCCATTTAGGGCAAGCTGGCACTGCCTGCAGTGTGTAACCTGTGCCACAGGACGCTATCCTGAATCTGAACTGGTGCCCAGAAGCTAAAACCACTCAACTTTCCCTTCCCAGCGGCCAGGGTTTCCAGCCGACTCCCCCACGTGCAGCTTAAACATTTGGTATAATGAGGCACAGTCACTGGCACAGAACATTGTCCAAGGATAATGGTCTCCTGCTTTGAAAATAAGCTTCTCGGCTTAGCCTCTGCTCAGGAAAACCATTATTCTGTTAGTGGAACAGAAAGATGTGACAGTATCTCTTAATTATAGGCTGCAGAGATTCGAAAGTTGCATGCACAGGGCATTAAGGACGTGAGATATGATGAGAGCACATCAGACATGCTATGTGGAGGTGGGGAGGGAAACCAATGAAGAACTCACGTCAGCTCAATTCCTGTCCTTGCCTGAAATACTAATTGCTACCCTCCTTGAGCCTAACATCGCAATCATTTTGAATCTTAATCAGCCAACAGCGTTTCATATCAATCCTTCAGGTTCACCTTCCTTTCTGCCTCCTTGAGGGAACCCTCCCATTACTTCTCCCAGGAAACCTGTTGCTCCTGAGAAGGAGGGGGCAAAGTTTATAAGTTGTTGGGCTTTTGTTGTTCTTGTTTGATTGGGATTTTTTTTCCCCCCCGTCTAGTCCACGGGACAGCGCGATTGAAAATGCGGGACCATCTTGGAGCTTGGTTATGGCCCTTCTACTGACCTCTGCCTTTAGCTTGCGAACTTTTGGGAATGAGGCTGTCGATAAAAGTTTGAGTTTCAGCGAAGCAGAAGCTGCTGTGTCGGCTGAAGGATTTACCCCATTCCTTCCCATTGCCTGGAAGGCAATGCCCCTTGGATGGTGCTTGGGTGGGAAATGCAGCATTGCCGACTGCCGCGATGCTGCCAGCCATGCCAAGAGCTTGGTTTTCCCTCCATGCAAGGCAAGTCCTCCCTGGCAATACAATTGCCTGAGGAGCGGTGGGGGGTGAGGAGGTCTTGACTGCAGTCGCCTCCACGGGCTCTCGAGAAGCGGATCCCTGAAATCAGTGCGTACTGCCAGAAGCTCAGCTGTGGAGACCTTGACTGAGATCCTGCTGATGGAGATGAGCCTGGAGCGTTGTGGGGGGGTAGCTGCTGGGTGATGAGGCGTTTCAGGCATGCTACGCGGTATTTGCACCTTCCCACGAATTTGGGAGATGAGAGGATCCCTGCCATGACTCGGAGCGTTAAGGGGACTTGTTTTGGTCGAGGTATGGCCGCTAGCTGTGCCGTGGGCAGGTATGGTTATGGCTCGTGTCTGTACAAGGAGCACTGCCTGCACCTGTAACATCACGCATGGGAAGAGGTGTGGTTGATCTGGGACCAGGCAGAGCTAATTTCTTCTTTGCTCTTCTCTGTGTCCTGGCCAGGAATCTGAAGGGAACATCCCCAGGCTGCACTCTGTAGGTGGGCTTAATGCCATTGCCCTGGCGTGGCTTGCCACCGCTAGAAGTGATAACCAAATCTCCCAGGGAGGTGAGGAAGGTGTTGCAGGGCAGTAAAGGATGGCAGCCTTTTCCTACAGCATGCTGCTGCTTCTGCTTCCTGCTGGAGTGTGTTCGTGTTCTTTATCGTGCTATCGGAAGACTGGGGGGCTTTGGGCTTACAACATCCTTTGGAAAAAAGAGTTGCTACTGAAATAGAGTTACTGTGCTACTAACAATATAAATGTGTTCGTATTGAGGGCTGCAGTTGTTCTACTTCCATTTATGTATTGTGTGCAGGCAGAGATATTCATTTTGCTTCCTCTAAAGTCTTTGGCGGAACATACGTGTCTTGTTACATCCCTTACTGAATTGTAAATAAATTCTTCCTATTTCTTGCTGCCTCGATTTGTAATGCTAGGAGTATTGGTAATGATGTGGGGTTTAATTAACCCCTGTTTTGAAGTCAGGAGAAAAATTCCTGCTAGCCTAATTGGGCTTTGGATACAGCTCAGATGGAAAGGTGCACTTTAATTCTTTCAAGAAAAGCCAAGCCCGCAGTAGGTGCTCAAAGGGCAAGCTGGGTGTGCTGTAATACATCCCCGTCATCTGTCAAGTGTGGGCAATCCAATGAGACCTGACATCGTTACCTGCTCCTCGGGGGCACCCACGAAGAGCAGCAGAGCTGTGAATGCTGCATTGCACGTGAGCAGGCTTGGGAGAGCGCTTCTCCCTTGCCGAAATAGCCTGGGAGCGTTCCGGGAGCAGAAATGGGCGCCGCTTTAGGATGCCATTTTGCGTGCAAGCAGCTGAGCGAAGGTGGGGGGAAATCGGGGCGGTTGAGCAGAACCGCTGCTCGGCTGTGCTGCAGCCCTCAGAGGGCGTTTCTGTAGGGTCTGCCTGGGGACCTCACAGAACAGCCTTGATTGGAACGCAGGCAGACCCCCAAATCGGTGTTCTTTCACACTTTAAGGGCTGATCTGAACATAACTTTGGGCATCTCTCCCCTGGATACTGCTTTATGGCTAGGAGAGAGCTACAGGGTGATATACCTGAAATATCCTCGGGCTGCTTCAGAGTACAATTATTATTTTGGGTTTTTTTTTGCATGTGCTATGAGTGTCATTGCAGTTGGTCTGCACGTGGCGAGAGCTGTGTCCCGGGTAGCTGATGCCGGAATCCCAGCTCTCTGCCTGGACTGATCCTCTCAGGCTGAGGCAGGGAAAGGAGGAGACCTTGGCAGCATCCTCGCAGCCCGGCTACTCTTCCAGGGTTTTAGGCAGGAAATGTTTCCTTTGATGGAGGACTTGCAGAGGGAAGGAGGCAGGAGGAGGAAGGTGGGAGAAATAATTGAAGAGGCTGTGTGGCACCGCGGTGCTGCAGTTATGTGGAGGGGTAGCGCGGTGAGGTCTGTGATGGCTGGGGGTGGGGCTGATGGGGAGACGTGGTTGTGTGGGTACACATGCCGATGGAAGCATACCTGTAGTCGAAGGACCCGTCTTCTACGTTCTTGTCTTCGGGATTTAGGTGCTCGTCTTTATTTTCTCGTACTGTGAACAAGCAGATCCCCAACATTCACGTTAAAAAGCAGCACAGGAGATAAAAGCTTTACGAGACAGTAACAGCAGCTGGTGTTGAGGCTGTCGTTGTGAAAGCCCTGCAGGGTGAAGTACAGCTTTTCATCGACTCCATAAAAACCTGCATCTGGGAGGGACTCGCAAAGGGTGCTGCTGTGGTGGCACCGGGGCACGGGCGCTCCAGATAGCAAGGGAGGATGTATTAATTGCTGAATTTTCTTAAGCCTGATCTTTGCTTTGCAAGAATTTAATGAGATTTTTGCATGAAAATATTTTTTTTTTCCCTAGATGAGGACAAGCAAATTTGCAGAGTAGAGGTTGGGTCATGCATAGCAGGAGTGTCCAGCTCCGCAGCCCAAAGCCTGCACAGCACAGAGCCTTCCCCTGACCTTTAATTAACTGAAATGCTTCCCACTAATAAGAGTGTTCCCGCTCCAGAGAAAGAAAAGCCCTTGTAATCACAAGCATCTATCTGAGAGCAATAAAATTTGATTAGCCCCCAGAAGCCTGGAGATGTTTAAACCATAAGCACAAACGATTGCCACGCAATGCTCTTACCTGGGTATTTCCCGCCTCTGCTCCTCTTAATGAAGCAGACAATCAACAGAATAAGGACCAGGAGAGCTATGGCACACATCAGCCCGATGAACCAGCCCTGCGTTGCGATGTCCACGTGATTCTTGGTATAAGCTAGAAGGAAAATTGAAAGAGGGGGGGAAAAAAAAAAGCTATAAGGGACAGACCAGAACCACAGAGGGAAACAGATGAATAATAACACACGGTCCATCGGTTTAGAAATTATCTTTAGCGCTGCATTTGTGTGTCTATGTGTGTATTGACCAGGTCATCCCAGAGGGTAGCACAAGGATCTGTGGCTTTTTCTTTTGTGTTGGTAGGTCAACTCTGCGCTCTAGCAGGAGCTACAGACAGCGAAGGGTCCCAACACAAAGTGAAACCTGGCACAGACCAGTGAGAAAGGTGCGCTGCAAACAATGGCAAAAGAAGCTGGGTAACAGATTTGATCTTTCCTTTACTGTGTCTGAAAACTGCCCTGGAAGCGAGGAGGTCTGAACGAAACGTGCCCAAGCGGATCCAGTCCCTGGTGTCCAGTGAGGCTGGACGCTGGATCCGGAGGGTTGCTGAGCCCTGACGAGCTCATTAGCAGCCTCGAGCTGGGAGAAACTCAAATCCTGTGGGGCAGCCTTGCCCAAGCTGCAGAGGCTCTGCTGCCACCACCGCCAGGGTCCTGCTGCCTTTGGGTGGCTACGGGGGTCTCCAGGGCTGAGAGGGGACTTGTGGAAGCCCACCAAGACTTGGCCAATGCACGAGTGGGGACGCAGCGGTGGGATCAGCTCTTTGAGGAACGGCAGCTGGGTCCCAGCTAGTTGAGAGGTGTTCTGATAGCACGGGGAAGTCTTTTCTCCTGGGGCAAGCTCTTTATACCGCTGTGTCCAGCACCCTCAGGGCTATGAATATTAATATGGTTAATACCAAGCAAGGAGGTGTCTTGTTCCCCAAACAATGCTCTGGCTTCTAACTGCCGTGTCCTCCCTCACGTACTCTTGACTACTTGTTTGCAGCTCCCATACACAGTCAGACAGACAAATCTGTGTCCTATAAATAGCAACAAGCTGCCATTTTCTGGCTCTCATTGACATGCGCTTCGTATTCAGCAAGACAGAGCAGAGGAGAAAATAACCTTCAGCGCAGCAGGGGGGCTAAATTTAACCAGGCTGCAGTGCAAACAGAGATAGGTATTCCTGGCAGGAGCGCGGGAGAGCCGAGCTGGTTGGGATTTGGCAGGGGTTTGCCTGAAACGGGCGGGACGGTGCCACGAGCATCCTTTTGTGGCGCCCATGTGACAAAAAAACAGGGTGGTGGTTACCACAAAAGCGTAAAATGCAGCCCTCTGTTAACGTATTCTGAATGAAAGGCTCTTGTAAGAGAGACGACAACTTTAAAAATGGGTTGAATTGGTAAACTTCCCTAACCCACACCATTTCAGGGCTGTAAGGGTGTACTTATTCAATCAAAATTGAACCCAAGAGAAGAGGTGCTTTCCTTAGGATGAAATCTAAGCCGGTTGCCAGTAGGTAATTGTAGCCAAACCACGACAAGGAAATTCAGATGAAAGATGAGAACTACAAGACCGAGGACCATTTGCTATAGAAATTATGTCAGATCCTGAACACTTTTGTGAGCAGCATCGAGCTCCTGGGGAAACCGGGGGGAAGTGGCTGCCTAATAGTGCCTTGGCTCCCTTTTGCTGCTTTTCCCTCTAATGGGGCCACATTTAATATTTACCTTTAGTACAACCTGAGCTACGTAGTCCTCCAAGATGCACTTTTTATTATGGAGAGGATGAGATTATAACAGAGTGGAGCTGAGAACTGGATTCAATTAGCTGAGTGCTTGGGGAGGAAAGGGGAAGAAAGCTTTACTGGAGAGCTTTGAAATGGAAAAAGATTGTGTTAGCAGTCCTGATGGGATGGGGTTTCTACAGAAACCAACGCTAAGGGAGAAATAAGGGAGGGGGTCCTCAAAATACAAAATGCCAGAGCAGCCTGAAAAGGTGGGTTTGTGCCGCCGTGCAGATTGGGGCTGGGTTTTAACAGAGTGGGAGGATTTTGAGTCCTGAGCCACCAGGGGATGTTGCAGTAGGATTGTGGCACTGCCTATCGCTGAGGTAGAGGTATAATTGCCATCCTTCCCAAAAAAGCAACACATGACGACAAAATTATAGTCACAGCAATCTTGTGTTTAGAGTAAACGAGTGACTGTCATTGCAGCATTGAGAAAGAGAAGATTAAGTACATGGCTGTCAGAGAGGATGTTTTGATTTGCTTTAACATAAGGCCAATGTCAAGGGGAAACAGTGGAAGGCAGCTGTGTAATCAAACAGGTAGTGATTTGAAATGCAACTGCAGTGACCTTTTTTTTTAAAATTAATTATAATCTTGTGGTAGAAAACATGTTACCTAACAGTTGTAGCTTGTATGCCAATGGCAAAGATGACTGCATTCCACCAACAGATCCATAAAATTTTTGTCTTTCTGTGTAAAGCAGACTATCTCACTAGCTCTAGCCTTGCATCATCCTCATCCTAGCATTTGTGAAGGCTGGGGAATTATTTTATCTTTTTTTTTTTTTTTTTTTTAATTTAGAAGACCTCTTTGTATTAAGCTACATTTGTAGTTTCAAAGTGTCCTTTACTACTGGGAGGAGCTCTGTTGGGTTACCGAGCTGTCAGTGAATCAGAAGCAAAGTCAGAGGGCAGTGTCCTGCACACAGTGTGGCCGGACTACTCCTGATTTATCTACCCTCCAACTGAAGAAACCTTTAGAATAGCTATTTGCAAAACATTAAAAACCAAACCCCACAAAAAGCTCAACAGTGCTTTCTTGTCAAAAGCATTCCCGGTGGCATACGATTGTCAGTGGGGGCTGAACGCTTGTGTCAGCAGTATCCAGCCAGCAAAGAAATGGATCTGCAGCGTTTATGCATGCAGGGATGGCGAAAGCTCTGTGCGTCCCACGGTGACGGGGCTCAGATCGGCCTCTATCGCTGGGACAAAGGTGGCCCCATCCTTTAGTCTCAACAATAAGCAGGAACCCCTCAATTACAGCAAATAGATATGCCGAGACTGCCAGCATCAATCAGCCAAGGATATTGCTTTTTTTTTCCCCCCCCCTCTTTCTAATGGTTCCCTGCCCCTTGCTGTCTGTGAGCAGGGGGCTGTCCCCTCTCCCCCTGGATCCCAAAGCGGGTGAAAAGCAGGTGAGAAAAGAGACGAGACGGGTCCGGATAGGGAAATAGTCATCCAGAAAGACACATTGCATGGTATGGGTGGGGGCTGGGGAGCTGGTGGCGATTTCTGACTCAGGGGAGGGTCCAGAAGCCGAAACAAAATTGGGGATGCAACGTTGCAGCTGGAGCTGTTCTGGAGGGAGTTGGAAAAATCAGCTCTTTTATTGTCTGGAGTCAGAATGAGCCTCTGCAACGTAGGAACAGGCGGGGAGCCCAGGGGCTTGAAACCTGCGGACAGTTTGCGTGTCTGTGAGCCGAGTCCTGCCAAAGCAAAGCTGTGAACTGTCCCGAGGCAAGGCGGCCGCGCCGTGCAGCACGTATAGCGGCGGAGCCATAAGGGGAAAAACTCCGGTGAAAATAAATCCTTTTTGAAAACAGGGCTCTCTGAAAAGCTGAGCGTGTTCCAGGGGCCATTGTGCTGTGGATGTGACCACATCATGGGGTGATGGAGCAGTTTGAGGAGGCACATCGGACCTCAGCGTGGGGCAGGACAGAGCCAAGGTCAGCACTTGCTGGTTATTTCTCAGTGTTGGGCAGCAGAAATACCAGCAGTTGCCATCTGTCCCTGGGTCATCTCAGCATATCAGAGATGGCGTTATGTCTTGCCAAATTTTCGGACACTAGATAAGGTGGGCGTAGGGGGTGTGGGGAGAACTGCTGCTCCCCACCTCCCCCTGCAGCGCTCCCTTGCTGTGAATCGCATTTTCCTTTTGCGCTTCTCAGCAAAGAGACTGGTAAGTGCTTGAGCTTTCCATGGCACGGCTGGATCCGAGCAGAAGAATTTTAGTTCTTCGCAAATCACAGCCTCTACCTACAACGTCTGTCAGTACGGGCTGCTCCAGTGGTGCTTGCTCCTCGGTGTTTCAGCTAAGTGTTTAGACCCGTGCTTTGACAGGCGTTGTGCACAGATTCCTACGGCAAAACCCCCGGGTGAATACAAAGGAAGTTACGGCTCTTTTGATTTACTGAAACTCATGGAGTGTGAACGGTGAGGTTTTATAAATGCATAGAGCCCGCTGCGATGCCTGTGGAAGTCAAGAAGGGTATTTCTCTGGCATTCAGTGGGCAGTGTAGGAAGCCCGTAATTAGAAAGCTGTAAAAATCACTCAGGTGCTAAGCCTGGAAAATTGCTTGTGCAATTAAACATGAAATTGCCAGAGGAAACATATGTGGAGGATGGAAAGCCCTAGGCACACGCCACGGATGACTCTGAGGTCTTCTGCAACCACGACGTTCCCCCTCCTGGCCCTGCCCCTCACTCGCATCCCATCACCAGTATCTCCCTGCCTGCCGTAACCTGGGGCCAGACGCTCTCCGGCGCCAAAGCAACCACCATCGCCGCGAGTAGCAACGCGCGCGGGGACGTGCCACCGCACAGCGGTGGCGCTTCAAGCGGAGCCACGTGACAACATGAGCGCGTTCTCCACCCTCCTGAAAGACCCTTTCCTTCAAAGGGCTCCCCGTCCCCTCCTGGGGCTCTCCTCCTCCGTGCAATGTGGAGCAACCTCCCGGAGATGCTGGGGGTGGCTCTTGAATAAGGGCAGAGATGGAGGCGGGGGGGGCTGCCAGGGGGGTGTGGATGAGGAGTTCCATGCAGTCATGGTCAAAACCACCTCCCGCCACCACGCGAATGACATCGGCGGTGATGGATGCGACATGCCTCGGAAACGCACCCCGCGGCGGGGCTGAAGCCCGTCTCACCTGAGCTGGTGGTAAAGGTTATGTACGAGTGTTCGCTGGGGCTAGACCATATGGGGAACACCCACAGCTTGTACATCATTCCCGGCGTCAGATTCGCCAGCTGCACAGAGGAAGGGGTCTGAGCTTTAACAGGGATAGATTTCTCTGTCTTGTTACCTGAGAAACAGAAACCGCACATCAAACCCAGCCGCAGGAGCCTCGGAGAGATTACCGTGTTGACACTGCAGGCAACGCATTACGCTCTCCCTAGCCGCTGAGCAGAAATAACGCAGCTTGATGGTCAAGGAGCTATTAACGGCTTCGTGATTATTACTCGCTGAGAATAGAAGGAAAATTGGTGATGCAGGAATGTGGTGTGGGTTTTGCTGCATCCCTGCTTGCCATACTGGAAAAAATACCGGTAGCTATTCAGATCTCTCCCTACTTTTAAGATCTCTTAGGTCCTTTATCTGCCCAGCCTCAGGTCTGGATATTTGGGTATTTACCACAAAAGATCTGAAACTTGCCTGGTCCCGCTCAGCTGGATGAAAGTGCTACAGGACTCAGTAAAGGAGCCAATTCTTGGGCTTTTGGGAGTGGTGCCCGTGCACCAGTTTTGCTGGTAGGTTAAGGAGGCTTTGAATGACCTGGACGTTGCATTAAACACTGTGCGACCCCTCGCCCTAGGCGGCGGATTGCTGCTTTTGAGGGCGAGAGGAGTTTAGTCCTTCAGCTCAAGTAGGGATGCTCATGGGCTGGCTCTCCCAGGCTTTATCCAAGGATGATCTGTTCTTCTGGTGCCAGGAAATCATTTGCTGATGAGCTTAATGCTGAGCATTAAACGACTGAATTCTAAGAAAGCCTGCAGTGGGGCTTTGATTTGTGGCTCTGGAGGTGGGCACCTCCCAGTTCAGCAGTGCTGCAGGGAAGGAGAAATGTGGCATTGAAGCCAAAAGAGTGCTGCTTGCTTCAACCGCCATCGGAAAGGGAGGAGAGCCACGGCTGTTCGGGAAGGGCTGAAATCTCCGAGATTTCCTCCCTTTTGGCCAAATCCTGATAGGGGTATCCCAAGGCATTGCTGCTGCTCTGGAAGGGCATCGTCTGCGCTTTGTGCTTCCCAGGGCTGGCAGCGGGTGGTTTGGGAGCTGGGATACTTGGCATTTAGGGCTTGGAAAGCTAGTGCATATCCTGAATTATGGAAACCAGTTAAAAAAGGGAAGGCTAGGCATAGCCCAGCCCGTGCTGCCTATGGAAGCCCTGCAGGCTGTGGAGCGAGACCAGGCACTGGCTGTGCATTAGAAGTTGTCTCAAGGAGAAATCAAGGTTATCTCTTAAGTGGTGCTGTAAACGACCAAAAGCGGTTTGCTGTCAATAATTGCGCCTCGTTGGTTTATTTTAAGTGCCGATTTAAGGCTGGCATACCAGACGACATGAGGGATGAAACGGCTGGGAAATAAAGTCAGAGATAAGCAGTAGTCATGACTGCCTATCTATAAAAACAACCAACCAACCACATGTAAACATCTTTCTAAACAAGTACTAAACCCAGAGAATACTGGCTTTGAGTTTCCAGACTAATATGTAGCCTTACAATTTTAAGAGACAACGATATCCGATACGACAGGAGGTTTGGGATCATAGAGGATTCTGCCAACTCCGGGTTCAAGAAGCCCATCTTCAAAGGCGTTTAAAACTGCTCTCCAATTTACGTAGATTTCATTTGTTTTCTCTTAAAGTTTTGTCTCCTTTCATATATATATACATTTATGTATATTTTTCTAAGACTCTTTACGTTGTACAGCCCAGCTCAATGAACAGCTCACAAACGAACAGCCCTGCTCGTCTATGTTTCACAAACATCTCAAGGCAGGCGGTGCAAGGAGGGGGATCCACTTGTGCCTCACCAGGATTAGCTCTGGTGCACTCTAAACAGCCACGACCGTGACCTGCCTTTTCCTCTCCCATCCTCCACGTGGCCATAGAGCATCGTTCCACACGCAGTAATTAAGACCCAGTAATAGGTTGCAACCGTGGGAGCTGGCAGGATCTCTAATGGCATCACCACCCTGTAGAGTCCCCACGCGATCTGATGCTTACTGGTGATATACTTAACCACAAAGTCAGTTCCTGCAGAGTAATTGTGGCTCCAGGTGATGTTTGCCCAGTTACTATTAGCCATAGCTCTTATGTCCCATATGGACGATCCATTGGTGGCTGGTGGACAGGTTAGAAGAGGAGTTAGTATTTTAGATTATACACGAATGAGACCTCATCTAGCATCTGGTGTTGGTAAAACCTTACAAAATTATTCCTGAAGTTAATGCTTTGATCTTAACCCACAAGCGTACCTAAGGACGTATTTGTTCCTTTCAAGATCCTTAGCTTTAAACTTTTGGGGCTGGTTGGGCAGCGGAAGCTCATGGCGTATCAGTGTTTTAAGTCCAGCTACGCTCAGCTTATCTTTGGAGTCTGAAGACTTCTGTGGCACATCCCTGAGGTTTTCGGGCAGCAGGGGAATCTCCTGACTAAACTCCTGCCCAAATGGACACAGGAGGCACGTGCATGAGTGCTCACGGACTCACTGCCACAACCGAGAAGGCAAGGCTGGGAGAGAATATTGTCACGTTACTGGGGCTAGAGACAGCCAGTGGGGCAATGAAGTCACTCGTTTCTGATTTTGAAGTTAAGGATTGTCGACGTTGCTTTGGAGAGCGGATGAACTTCACTTCTAGTGGAGCTAATCCACTAGTTTGGTGTGTGCTTAAGTGACATCAGGTAAGTTATGCCTCGGGTTTATTGTTCATACGGTTAACTCCAGGGTGTAGCTCAGGTTTTGGCTTGACAAAAGGCAGGTCGGTAACTGCAGTCCCCGGGACGAGGCCAGCTACGCGACTTTTAGGGAATTGCGAGGACCTGATGCTGTGGGGTCGGGGACGTGACCTAGAATCCCTCGTACGAGCACAACCTGTGCTGCCACACGGCTGCCCTGTCTGCCCGCATTACGGCTCAGCCTCTTCCCTCGTGTCCCCGGGGTGGTTCGGGACAGGCGCGGTTCCTCTTGCCGCTCCTCTTTTCCTCCCGCCTCCTGTCCCTGCTCTGTGGTCCCTCGCCACTTAATTGCCTTTTTTTCAATTAGCAACGTTTTCCCACGTAGTCCCTTAATGGTGACTGTGTTGTGGTAGCAATCTTGCTTCGTTAAAGCTGCATCTGTATTTCTTGCACCGGTTTTCAAGCTATCTTGTTTTGGCAGGGCACTCCCTGCATGCTTTCCCTTGACTTGCCTTTAGCGGCTGTGCCCAGCGAAAGGCAGCTGGGGAGGCGTGCGGTGCCACAAGCTGGAACGCAAGTTCACGTTTCTTAGTTCAGGTCTGCATCTTTAAGAAGCAACTTAGTGCAGAGCAGGAAACGTGCTGCTGATTCCCAAATCTAGTTTACTGCGGAGTACTGGGTGGAGGCAGGTCCGCCCAGCGTATGTTTTTGGTGGGTTTTTTTAACCATCCTGAGCTAATCTTGTGCAAGAATATAAAGAAAGGGGTCTGAACTGCTTTAATCAAATTCCCTGAGATGAGTTAAAATGGGTATCAACTTTGTTATTCGTTATTACCATCTCCTTCCCCTCTTTATGAAGAGTTAAAAATGGAAGCTTTTGCACTTGCATTTTTGAGTGTATCCTATCCGGCTATGCGACTGAATTCTTTTGGGTGTGTTCTCTTTTGCTACTGTCTTGATTTATTTTTTGAGTAACCTGAATATAACTATCCATAATTATTAATTAACTGTAGATACCGTTATGGCAGTGTTTTAAAACCAAGGCTCAGCGAGGTACCTCTCTCTGTATCTATCGGGAAAACATGTATAGTAGAGAATGCGCCTCCACCAACGCAGGGTTTGATCATCCTGTTCTAGCTGATTGCAAGAGAAGTTTATCTTGACCTGATAAATACCTGGCACACACCTGCGTGCTATAACTAAAACACTTCCCCAGCTCTCCTGTGGGCTATGGCTAGGTTACATCGCAAAGAGCAGGAGCATAAACCAAAAGACTCGTATAAGTGGTGACAGGTCTCTTAGCTAACGGCTGATGTGCTAAATTTGAAGTGACATCTTCTATAATAGTAACAGAACCCCTTTGTAATGGCAATAAGGTACAAAATAAGACTTTTGAGAGCTTTTGTAGCATCTTCCACCTCCTTCCCAAGCAATGATCCTAATTTAGCATTGCGACACCCCGGGGAGGGCTTTGTTACCCCTGAGACTGAGACCAGGAGGGTGGCACAGAGCCCCCCAAATTGCTGACAGCCACTTGTGCACCTCAATTCCTGAGCCCGTGCCACCTCCGGCTCCTCGCAGAGCCGTTCCCAGAGCATGGGATGTCTTAAATTTTGCCTGTGCCCGTTATTAATCCTCCCTCTGAGCAAGATGCGGGGAAGGTGCCAGTAGGGTTAGAGGAAAAGGAAAGCGCAGTACCCAACTCCTGCTTTGTGGTGGCTGCTGGAGCCCTCTCTGTAGCTGTTGTAGTGCTTGCGGCGGTGGTGGCGGCTGTAGTAGTGGTGGTAGTTGTGTCGGTAGTGGTGGTAGTTGTGTCGGTAGTGGTGGTAGTTGTGTCGGTAATGGTGGTAGTTGTGTCGGTGGTGGTGGTGGTAGTTGGGGCTGTTGTAGTACTGGTTAGACCGACCGTAGTTGGAGGTGGCCCAGTTGCAGCTGGGAGAGGGAAACACTGGCTTTTTAGACAAAGTGCTGTCTCCTCGGGGCTTGCACTCGCCCTCCCCGACGGCCGGACGTGCAGGCACACGAGGGGACGCGGAGCAGCGCAGCACAGGGGGGGGCTGGGGAGGGAGGCAGCGAACGGCACCGGGAGGCACGAGGCTGAGCTGCTTTTCCCACCCGCGTGCGGGGACGGCCACGTGCCCGGCCGAGGGGCAGGGAGTGATGCTGGGGGTGAAGAGGGGCAGCAAGCGGGGGGCTGCCCCTGGCAAGCTGCTCCTGTGCACCCACCTCCCACAGTCTGATCCCTTTCCCGGGGACGAACGACCTGCTTCTCTTTTGCCTTTGCTCTGCCGCCAGTGCCCCCTGCCACCCTGGGCTTAAATCGCATGGAGGGCAAGGAAGGAGGAAGGCAAGGGGTGTTTGGGGGGTGCACAGGGCAGGCTGTCCTCCCCCCATCGTTCCCCCTGCCCCGAACTGCCCTGAAAGCTCCCTGAAATAAGAAATAGGATTTATCTCTTAAGAAAACATAATAATCCCGTTTGTCGTGAGCCAGGCAAGCCGCAATTACATTAATTCAGCTGGCCCTGGACTACACCTCCAGCATTTTTGAGCTGCCAATTCAGCCTGCAGCTTCTCGGCTCTTTCTTTCCTGGCTCTTCTCTGTACTAATGTTGCAGTCTGGTGATGGAGTGGCTTTAGCATTAACATGGATTTTAGCTCGTGGGTGAGTGATGGATGGTACTTTGCCATCTCACAATTTACATTTAAATGAGGATAAAGGTGTTGGCACACCCCAAGCTGTCCAGAGGAAAAGTCTGAGCAATTTGTTTTCTAAATAGCCCCTGTCCACATCTCACCTGTGCCGTATTTCTGGTGCAAAGGGGTAAATGTGTGCTGTGTGCACACACCCCGCAGCCTGGCGGAGAGGATCCTGAAAGGGGAGTGCGTTGGCTTGGGCCTGAAAACCTGCCAGCAGAAAATGCAGCTGAAACGCTGCTTAAACTACCTAAGGTAGATGGACGGAGATTTACCCTGTGATGCTTGCACTACGTTAAATTTACTTACTCTTACTGTAAATCAAGGGATTACAAATCCCCCTGTTAGGCAAATGACACTGGCTATTTTAAATATCACCCACAAAAGAATAGCTCTAGGAAAGTACTTTAAAAGGTGCCCCAGAACCAAGCCAGGGCTTTCTTTTTCACCGAGGAGGGCCAACCCCTAAAACCTCAGCCCTCCTGGCGATCCAAAAGCAGAGAAGAGCAGTAGGTCACTCAGTCCAGCTCCCTACCGGCCGCAGCTGCAATAAAACCACAGTTACCAGCCCACCCCGAAAGCACCAGCCCGCCCCACCGCGTGCCCAGAGAGCAGCGTGGCCTCTCCACGGTGGGACCCACGCAGCGTCGCAGCCAGCCTCATGCAACAGTGCAGCCCCCGAAAGAAAGCACCCGCCTGGCGCAGCCCGTCGGTGCCCCACGGCCGGGCGAGGGGCTGGGGGCGAGCGGGGATGTCCAGCCACAGGGAGAGATGGTGGTGACAGGGTGGGGACCCAGCCTGGGTGGGAAATGGCACGGCTTTGTCCTCGGGTGGTTGTAGCCCTCCCTGACCTGACCCAGCCACGGCAATAAGGGTGTTTGGGGTGTTGCTGTTCTGCATTTCTTTCACCCGGTTACTGAACAAGGTCTTTGCTGTGTCCTGAGGCTCTAAGCTGCAAAAGCCTTTCTTGGGTTGAGAAGTATTAACATCCATCTTCGCTGATTCATAGTGGGGTTTTTTGGAAGGTTAAGAGATTGGTGTCACTAGGTTAATGTCACCATTAACCAGATTAAGCTGCAGCTCCTCGGTAGGTTTGCAAGGTACACAGTCAAACAGCGCCACAGACACTAGCTATTAGCTAATGCAGTCTCAGCATTTCCCCTGTGAATCCCTGGCTCCCCTCTAAAAGGCAAACAGGACCCAACAAGGCACAAAGTAACTTGCTGAAAGGCAGGACCTGCTGGAAAACGTGGTACAACCACCCCAGCTCCCAGGCCTGTTACACGTCTCTGCATCATGCCTCTCCTACACGGCACCTTTGAGGACCATCTGCATCACCTAGCACTGCTGTAACGGCTTTAGCAGAAGAAGAGATTCAGTTTTAATGCTCCTCTAGACCCTAGTTGGGAAGAAATTATCTGGGATATGTCAAAGCTTCACTATCCCTCATGCAGGGTAGCATCTTTATGTCTTACATACAGATACACAGGCATGCAGGTGAAGCTGCAGTGCCAAGACCCTCTTGGATGCTGCACTGACCGAAGCAATTCAGCATCGCTCTGAGCTGTGCTGCTCAGCTCTGGACAGCAGCGATGCCAGGCAGGATCTGCCCCCACTGCTCCGGCACTCTAGGGGAAGCGATCCCCGAGAGCAGCGCGATCGCATCGCATCAGGATAATGCCAGCGAGCTCCAGAGAAGGGTCCCTGTGTGAGACTGAGGAGGGGGTGTTGGCACTGGGGGTAACAATGATGCTGGCAGGACTAGGAACAGGTGAGAAGCAGGATCAGGCGAGTCTGGAAAGCAATAGATCAGAGAGAGGAGGATGGGGAGAGCGTCTACGGGCAGCACGGCGCTGCAGGAGGGGACCGGGCGGTGGGAAGGCAGCACAGCGGCCGGCCAGGGCTCCCGCAGCCATGGGGGGGATTTAGTCCTAAGCTGTCCCAGGATTCAAAGCTACAGCCTCATTTGTGTTTAAATATGAAATGTATGCGGGAGCAAAGCTCAGCTGGGAGATTTGGGGGAGAGGAGATAAGGGGCATTTTCTAGGCTTTGAAATCCATCCCCTAATGAGAGCTGATTTCGGTCTGGGGGGAGATAAAGGTGGTCTTTGACAGAGATCAGAGCGCTCGGGCTTCCCCCAAAGACAAGGGCACCTCAGCACGGGGGGAGCTGTGGGGAGCAGCCTGCACGGGGCCACGGCCCTTCCCAGGGGGTACCTGGGGTCCCCCGCTCGCTGCCCACCACGTCAGGGCTAATTAAGGAGTGACAGATCCCTGCTCCTGGCAGCAAAAGGCAGGGGAACAGGGGAGATGGAGGGCCAGGCTGGCCTGTCCAGAACTGCTCCTTTTGAAAGTCTAGAAGTCACACGCATCCTTCTACAAATGGGGTTGCAATATTTCATCAGGTATAATGTTTCTGAGCTTTGCAGAGCAGCTACATTTATTTTTCTGCATCCCCAGCATGAGGTTCCCTGAAGGGCTCTGCCGACGGTTGCCTCAAGTTTAGGTACAGGACCGAGCATCTGGCGCTTGTGTGATAGGGAAGAAATTCCCCTCCCCTCCTTGCAAAAGCAGGAGGCTTTGCAGAGAAGTGGCTGCCGCTTTCCCAATTGCAGGGCAGAGCAGCGCCCTGAAAACCCGTGTTTCAAGCAGGCTTGAAGTTGCCCCAGTACATCCAGGGTAAAAAACCAGCGACAGCAGTTCCCAGTCTCTCGCTCCCACCCTAGCCCCTTTTCCTGGAAACATCTAAAGGACCATTCAGCTCGTTAATAGGCCCCATCTTCGCAAGGCAGAGATTGCTTTTTCTGTCTGCAAGATGCATTACCCTCTCAGGTAATGGAGACCAAGGGGCACGGTGGGGAGGAGATGCGCTCTTCGAATGGACAGGGGATGTGGCCGTCTGGCTGCAGCAATTAATGGGCTGAGTAACGAGAGAGATGCTGCAGCTTCGCTCCTATGACCGTGAATGGACCAGTAAAAAGGAGCCCAAACCTTACACAAAAACTGTGCAAAGCTCAGATTAGGGAAAAAAAAACCCTGAGAGGAAAAATCGTAAAAGCAAAAGGGGGATATTTCAAGAGGGAGCCTCTTAAGAGAGGGACGCGAGTCCTGCTCCGAGTAGTGCAGCAGTTCAGGGAGGAGTTGCGTGGTTTTTTTGCAAAATACAGGAAACAATACACATCCCTACTGCTCTTTAATTATTTAAAGATGCTTTTAATGTGTTGTTAGGCTGTAGTAACAGCTTTCCCTTGGGTGTGTCTACAAAATAATTGGGCTTGGAGAAATTTGATTAATTTTTCATGAATTTTGATTATTAGCCGAATACATTTTCAGAGATTTTTTTTTTTTTTTTTTCTTCTCACCCTCTCCCAGTTTTTAAGAGAAGGAAATTGTAAGGTCTTTACCATAAGGTGTTTTAAATCTGATGACAGCTATAAGAAATTCAGGAATAAAAAGGAGCGATTGAGCAGTCTCTAGAAGAGAGGGGTCAGCAGTTCTCTGCTACTGCTGTCCGTTTCTAAAACGAACAATGGGATCTTTCTCCTCTGATTCCTAATTATGGAAAGATAAGAAGGGAACAGAGAAAAGTCAATGTTTTTTTCCTTAAAGTCTAAGAGCACTACTCGTTATGGTCCCTGATGAAGTTTTTCCATACACACAGGCAGCACAGGATCTAGTTTTGATTTTTTTCTCACTCATAGCAGAAGCGAGAGCCCTTTTTAGATGTCCTGTCTTTTCCCATATCACCTCTCCCTTTGTCCAGGTCTGGCTTAAGAAAGATAAAGCCTTTCCTAAGGGAAAGTCCCTGCTCTTCACTTTGATTTCATCAGGCTGGTCCATTTTCTCATACACAAACAAAACAGCAATGACCCTGCATGTGTAAGGTTAGCCCTGGAAAAAAAAAAAAAAAGACCTTTTCATTCCTTTTTTAGTGCCAGCAGCCCATGGCAAAGAGCGTTTTTACTGCAATTTAAGCCAACTTTCGCTGTGAATCCATAAAAATCTACCAAATCTAGGTCACTGAGCGGAGATGAATCTTCCGAGAAGGGTCACGCAGTATTTCACTCGAACCCCGTACTTGTTAGGAAGAGAAACAGCCTCTCGCGACCGACACCGCTCGAATGGTGTAACAGCTCCCGCGCCCGCCCCGTGTCCTAACGAGACATGACATCCAGCTCAAGAGCAAGACAAAGATGAGGCTGGATCTTGCTATGGCTTGTAGTGCCTCGGTTTCTCTTGCTGAAGCCTCGCACGGTGAGGAAGCCGTGAACGCGGCTGAGTTAGTGCTTAACGACCTAGTGCTTCAGTTACTGACTCTTGGACTTGCTTCAGCTCTGGCATATCTTTTCCTTTGACTATTTCTCCTAGCAGAAGGTAAAAAATGGAGGGATGGGGGACCAGTTGACTCTGTTCTTGTAAAATTGCCTATTAAATGGCAAACAATTCATCTAGACTCCAGTGGTATAGGAAATTATGCCTGAAATGATACGATGCTGGAAGGATAAAGAGATCACGTTGTGCTTTCAAAGTTCAGCAATATCCACTGCAAGTAGAAAAGTACTTTGGAAGGTGATCCTGATCCGCAAAGAAAATCCAAATTCTTGTGGATAAGCTAAAACCTGGCTGAAGTACAAGCTATAGCAGCAAAACAAACAGCCCTCCCGGACTGGGAGGGTAGGGATCATCTAAGCCAAAAGGTTACGTCCATTTTCAGTTTCTCACCACCCAAAGCAGACCAATCTGTTACCCCCCTTTTTTTTTTTAGGGAGAGAAAAACATAGTAAGAAAGACAAAGATTGGGATCTATTTTAGAAGGAAAAAAACCCACGCAAAATAATATTGGGTAGAGAGAGACATCACTGCAACAAAATAAAAGGAGGAAAACCACCGATGAGGTAGGAAAGCAAAACCTACAGGTGCAGAGAGCAGGTCCTGCACTTGTATCACTTGGGAAGAGTCTCCCCTAAGAAGCTGCTCCTCCCTGGGGAGCCCCGGGGCCGTGTCCAGCAAAGGCAAAGCACAACCTCTTACAGAGCCCTTGGTGCAGGGCAGACGAGGGCTGTTGCTCCAGACCAAAAAGCTTTTCTGCAGCGTTGGGGGCGCGTTTTGGCTGGCTGCGCTCCCTAGCAGTGCCGCTAGCCCCCTGCTGAGCTTGGCCACGGGGGCTGCTGGAACCCCGACTCAAAGCAGTGGCAGGGGGAAAGTCACGCCTGCAGCTTTTGTAAGAGGTGGGCGTCCTTCTTTGGGCAACCAGAAGTTAGGCTTATGCTTTAGACTTTGCAGAGCTGACACTGGGTAAACTGAGGATTTGGGTTGCCGGGGAAGCAGGTGGAGAGGCTGCCCCCCCCGCCCGCCCCCCCGTTACAAGAAGAATTTTTCTCTCTGCTTCAAGGTAGAAATTCGCAATTGAGGGCAAAGCCAGCAGTAGCCTCGCATGCAGACATGCACAGCTGTGGCACAAACATTGTCCTTAACCCTTTCAATGGGCACCTGGAAACAAAAGGATTCCCCCGTACAAAAGCCCTGGCAGCCCTAAAAGAAGCCCGGGAAGGTGTGGGGGCTTGTGGTGCCCGTATGCTGCAACCCAGCCCTGCGTGGCCAAGGGGGGGCAGCTGCTCCAGCAGCGATAGCACAAGCTTCTGGGTGTAAAAATACAGCTTAAATACTGCAGGGCAGAGCACAGCTTTGGGATGGGCACCACTGAGTCAGGGCTGGCTGGTAAATATTCTGTATTTTGCAGGGCAGGGATGTCGAGGCTTTAAAAAGGAGAGGGCTTTGTGCAGACCTGGGATTAAAAACCTCTTTAATAGGGCAACTTGACTCTCATTTTCGCTTGTACAGTCTGTGGCAGCTGCAGTGCTCGGTGGATTTAGCTATCATTAGGCATCTGGGAGGCTGTTAAGCCCCGCTCAGAGATATTTTGATCTTTGCAGACCCCCCTGTGGAGCCTGCCCTTGTCCCTTCTGCCTGGAGGGGGGCTTCATTTTTACCTGCCATCATTTCATATGCCCCAATTTAGACTCCTGACACTTGGTCTTCCCATTGAAAGGGTTAATGGAGTGCATGCTTAGAGCGAGCGAGCGTGGAGTGAGCCTTGCCCCATGCCTGTTACCTCCTCCAGCTGGTACGGTACCTGGGGTTGGCGTGGCTTCAGAGGGCAGCGCCAAGGATAGAGAGGGGAATACGAGGAGAGCATAGAAGAGAAAGGAAGAGAAAACAAGAGGAATATATAAAACAACCAGAACACACCAACGAGAGACTAGGGACCACTTGCACACAGTCACCAGAGACTTGAGAGAGAGGGAATAAATGCATTAGCTACAGCCCGTCACCCTCCTGTGCATCAGAGCCGCTTGCGCAGGGCAGAGAGAGCAGGGACGTCCCCTGGAGATGGAGATTACCAGTGAAACACACACCAGCTCCCCAGCAGAGGTGCCAGCGGTGTCGATTAAGTAGGTGCTTGTATCCAAACCCAGCAAGGACCAGTTTTGACACTCTGAATTTCACCTTAGTTTTTCTAGTGTAATTGTAATATCAGCGCTCGTCCTGTCTTGTGTGGGTTGGAGCCCTGGGGCAAGAACATCAGAGGTGTGTTGTGTTTAAACTTCTCAGGTGAACGAGTCTGGCAAGCAGAAAACAAGCTCTGAACGCATTAATGGGTTTGATTCTCCTAATTTGCCTTTGTTTTTTTTGATTCCAAGCTCATCTTTCGTGTAGCTTTACAGCAAGTACCTTCATATCAAAGTGGGCATTTAATGCTGCTGGTCGCATCCTATGACGTGCCTGTCATTACCAGAACTCGCCTACGTCACGCTGTACCTCAGGGTCTCGTGTTTTGAGGTCAAACTTTGCCGTATTTCTGTAACTTCAGACTGTAAACTACTTTAGTTTTTCTTGCTGTTTGACTGCCAACGCTTTCTCCTTTTGCTAAGTGGCAGCAGCTCGTCCCTTCAGCAGGGGCAGCCGGGGAGCACGGGGTGCCACCACCCATCCGCATCCCCGACCCCGCGGACAGGGAACCTTACCTCGTCACGCTGGTGTACGCGGTGCCTGCTGTGTCCTGCTACAAACCAGTTAAGTGACATACAACAGGCGTTGGTTAGGGCTGTTGTTCAGCTGCGCTCTGCTAACAGTCACCATTATCCACGTACAGAAACAAACCCAGTAAAGCCAACGTATACAACACAACTAGGACTATTGACTATCAGCACCGACAGCTTCAATCCGTTCCCTGTGCTGTGTTTGTTCAGCAAAGCTCCTTTTTCAGGCAATGACGTGCCCCCTCTCATGTGTTTGCCAGGGTGTAACTTAACTGATTCTTTCCCCCCCCCGTAGCATATGCAGCCCCATCTCCCATCCGGTCACGTCAATTAGTGATGGTGGAGCCCACCTAAGAGGTGTCAGGAACCATTTCATTTCCACTGGGTCATCAGTAGGAATTACTTTTCCTACTCAGAGCCATTAGTTGGGGAGGGGGAGATGGAGGAAAGGAGACAAAAACTCCATTAAGTCAGAGCACTAACCAAATCACGGGTCTTTTAGCAAATGCGAAAGAAAGGAAAGCGCCAGCTTTTGTCTCCCTGAGCTCCCTCAGGGCTCCTGAACTTTCACTTAGTTTGATGAATGTCCCACAATGGGCATTTTATCTTATTATGAATCTGGGAGTTGGAGCTTTGCTTTGGAGGGTCAGGTCAGCTGCTGTTATGGGGTGACAGGGAGGTGGCACCGTAGCCCCTGCCTGGAGTTCACTGCCTGGAGGATGCAGCTGCTGCACCCCCCTTCGAGCCACGTAAAAACCCTCTCCGTGTGCCCCTTATTTAGCTCAAACAGAGCCTGCAGAGGGGCAGGTTAGAGCTTCACTCTTTGCAAGAGCGGAGCAAGATGCTCTCCTGCTCCAGGGGCACGTGAGGAATGCTAATTGCTTGGGGGCATAGGACAGTCCCCCCAGTCACCTCCGTAGCATTTCTGCTGCCGTACGCGGTCCTGGCCAGTCTATCTCTGCGGCAGGTAGTAGCTGTGCACCAGGTACTGTCTTGTACTGGTTGCTCTGTGGGCCACCTGATCCTCTGACCTGCCGTTTTTGGCTCACACGTGTACCGTCACCCCCTAACCCCGCTGCACCTACCTTCATTCAGCAAGGGTGGCGACTCCTCCACTATGGTTTCTCCTTCTCCCACCTGGGTCCGTGCGCGCAGGAAGAAGCGATAGCGCGAGATGGGGTCTGTCCTCTGCAGGGTGAACTTTGTCTGATTGGGAGAGAAGTTCTCTACCATGGTTCGTCCCGTTTTGGATCCATTAACTGGGGAGGAAAGGCAGGTTGTGGTGGCTTCAGCCTCGTTTCAGAAATACACTGTGCTGTCTACCTCGCCGCCTCTCCCCGAGGACCGACCTGCAAGTCGGTGTGGGGCCACGTCTGCTCAGAGCTGTAGCTGCTGCTAAATACACTTTGGGGCAGCTGGTGACTTGCTAGCTGGGGGATCTGCTAGCGGGGACGTTGAGGGTTGTACACGTGGTCGAGGAAGGGCACAGAACAAGTGCTGGGGTCTCAAGCAGAGAAGGCTGAGCTGCCCCAGGCATCGTGCTGGGCTCTGCAGAGCGTGCTGCACTCCGGGCAGCATCTCTTATATAGCCAGGAGCTTGTATTTGTTGAGTGAGCCCATAAACTACTCATACTGCACTTAAAGGTCTTTCTAAATCAGAGATCAAACTTATTTCCCTTCAATGGTCAAGTCTGGAGAACTGCTGAGCACCCACCACCCTCCCTGGTTAACTGCAGCTGCCCAGCACTGCTCCAGGACTCCTCTCCATCACCAGCGTGTCTCATCTTGTGACGAAAGTCTCCAGTCCCTTGTGGAGAGCTTTCTGTGCTAGGTGAGGAGGTACTCAGCAGCAAGGGAAATATTTAGTGACTTAATTATTATCCTTAAGAAGACAACATGTGGAACGTACAGGCTTGATATCTAAGGCTGTATCCTGTGAGGACTCCATTGGGATGCTCTGGGTGATCCCACTCCAGACTGATGGTTTCCAAGTTTGGCTGTCGGATTCTTAAATACCTGGGAGAGCTGGGCACTTGAGAGGAGGATGGGACCAGGGAGGAGAGGGAAAGAAGAAAAAACACACAAGATAACATACCTTACAATACTGTATACAGCGCAGGCTGACTGATACACTCAAGACACATAAATACGGGCAGATAACACACCCACACTGAAGGTGAGAAACCGACTGAACAAGAACCTGTGCCAGGAACCATGCGCCAGCCCAGGGTTTTCAGCATCGCGTGCGCAGGGAGCAGAAAGCGGAGCAGCTCCGCATGCAGCCCCAGCCCCAGCCCGGAGCTCGCTGAGGCACCCCCGAGAGATGCTGCAGCCGTGAAGCGGAGCTGTGCCACAGTTCAAGACCCTTTCCCAGGCTGTACACGTACTGTATCAGGCCTGTTTACAGCCCCCACCCAGCCCAGCTTTTACATCTCATCTATTTATCTGTTGGAACGGTGAAAAACAGCGTAGCAGCTTCTCTTATTGCCAAGCATCTACGTGTTATTAACGTCTGGAGCTCTGTAACAGGGAGCTGGTGTGCGTATACAGTGGTCCTTACCCTGGGGAATGGCTGCTTTTATGACTGCTTGTTCAAAGCTAGTAAAGGAAGGAAAGCATTATACAGTCTTGAGTTAAATTATTCTCCTGGTTTACATGTAAGTGTGGTGTCTTAATTGGGGAAAGATCTTGGTGCTCTGATCTGAGAGATGAGTGATTTTTTTCTTTTTTTTTTTTTTAAACAGAAGCTTTGCAGAATATTATTCTATCTCCTAAAGGTCGATATATAACAAATAAAATAGCTTAGTGGTATAGGGGAAAAAACCCCAATCAACAGTTTCCTTATGACAAGAGTACAATCTGCCATAATTGCTTCAATCAATGCCACCCATGTGTGCCTACAGCTACCCCAAACGCCCCGTGCCTCTAGCACCCAGGTAAAAGCAGCTCCCTCAAAATACACCTGATTGCAAAACCGCCCTACTGGAGCAGAGTCCTTTCTTTTTAAACAAGCTTAATTATGGCTGATCAATAGAAAATCCTTAGAAAATGGTGACGGCATCCAAGAAAATGTTAAGGAAGAACAAGACAGGACTGAGAGACGCTGTTCTTGTGCAGCGGGAATAGGAGGAAGAGAAAGAGGAAGACCCCACAGTATTTTGTGTTATTTGAGACAGGATTCGCTTCCAGCCTCTACTGTTTTCTCCTCTTGCATTTTTGTAACATACTGTGCCAAAAACATCTGTGCTACAGGAAGATTCATTGCCAGCTACTGAAAGTGCAGCTCCCACAAAAAGTTATCGGCATGTCTATAAATAGCTCCTATGACAGCAAGAAAATTAAAATCTCAAGTTCATCCTTGACACAAGCTCTTTAAACAGAAGAATGAGGCGCTCTTGCCTTAAAAGCCTGACAGGGGTATTAGTGACATTGTTTCAGAACAAAAGTACTTAGGTCTTACAGAGATTTTTCCTGCCTTTTACTGAGCAAGATGAATATATTCACTCCCATTTCACCGACCTGCAGCACGGGGAGGTGCGGTGACATTTGCAGGTCAGGCAGCAAATCAAGGGCACGGTGCTGTGCCTCTGAAGAAGCTTTGCAAACATTTCTCTTGTTCAGCCTAAGAGCTACTTGCTGATGTGTTCAAAGCAGCTGAAGGGGATTTTTAGATTGATGAGACAGAGCCAGTCGTCAGCTCTAGGTGTAGCTGCAGAGATGTCACCTACCCCGCGGTGACGAAGGCGTACAGCGGTGCCGTGTGACAGTGACGCTGCCCAGAAGGTGCTGCCCAGGCTCAGCTAAAAATTGTCCCTAGCCCATCTCCCCAGCAGCGCCGTGGCTCTGCCGCAGAGCGGTGCGGCTCCCGGGCCGCTCCGCAGCGCTGAACCACCCAAACCTCTGCCAGCAGGCGCCCGAGGGACCGACCCCCCCCCCGCCGCCCCGGGAACGTACCTCCTTCTGGGGTGGGGAACTCCTTCACTTCACTGCGTGGCCCATCTCCTCTCCCGTTGGTTACAACCATCTCAAGCTTGTAGTTGCTGTAAGGAAACAGCCGGGACACTATGCCCCGGTTTCGGTCTCCAGGAAAACTCACATACTGCCGTTTTTTGGAGACCCACAGGTTCTTCAGCAAACTACTGTCTCTCCAGAAATAGGCCTTCAAGAAACATGCAGGGCAAGTGAAGCTTTTCCCATTTAAGTGCAATTGGTTTTTCATTAACAAAGCATAGCAAAACCTTGCCTTTCCCAAGAGCAGCTCTCAGCTGCAGAAGCCTTTTAGAGCCGCGAATGAAGCGCCACATCCCCCCAGCGAGGCAGGTCAGTGGTGTTACCCGAGGAAGAGGCTGAGCACGGGGTTAAAAGTGCTTACCAAGGGTCACAGAGCAAAACCACTAAGCTCAGGCTATGAAGAACTGTTTCTGGCTCCCGAGCACTAGGCATCGAGAGGCTCTCCCTTTCTACCCGGATTAGTACCGTAGCGGCGTACAAGGAAAGGTGGGACGCGTCCAGGCACAAAGGAAAGTCTGAACTTGGAAAGTCTCCCATTTGAAGCCCCAGCTGTAAATCTTATTTCATGCAGAAATAAGATTCATTCAGAAAACAGACCAGAATGACAAGAGCAGAGGCAGAAAAAAATGAAAGCAGCACCCGGGGAGCTTGCTTTATGCTCAGTGGATTATTGGATTTGAAATGTTATAACTGTTTGCAGGACACACGTCTTAAAGTCGAAGGGGCTCTGTCCAGACTTTTGCTTGTTTTGAACAGGGTCTGTCCTCTGTACGTAAACACTGGTATTTTACCTTAGCAGTAAATGAACAAACAGGATCCAAGCTGTCTTTAGCTGCCAGTTAGTAGGAACCGCTGGGTTTAGGCTTTGCAGGGGTTGGTGTTCATTAGAAGACGATGTCGGTACTTTGGGGATGACACAAAAACTGGTCTGTTTGTACTTCTCTGAGGTCATTCACCCCAGAGCCAGCCAGCCAGCCTGTGGTTCTGGGCAGCTCTAGAGCCGGGAGACACCTTGCTGCATGGGTAAGACCACCCCGAGTCCCTCTCTGCGTGCACAAGGGCAACCCCGCTTGCTTTGTCTGAGCACCCCAGATCCAGCCCAGCACCGAGCCCTGGGGGAGCAATGGGTGGTGACCCCAGCCCTGTCCAGGCACCACAAAGAACAAACCAAGACCCTTCATTTCTGGTGCTGCTCCAGAGCAGAGCTCAGCCCCTGTGCTCGGCACCCAGCCATGGCAAAAGGGTCATGGTGATAGCTGGAGGAGAGTTTTCTGTCATCCCCATCGCAGGCAGCTCCATCGCTGGGGCCACCTCGGCTTGTGAGAAGGTTAGCTGAATTAATAGTCAGTGCCGGAGAGCTTTGGTTTTGCTCACTCTGTACTCCTTGAGCTGTCCCTGGATGGTGTCCAGGTGCACTCGGGTCCAGGTCAGAGCAATGGCAGTGCTGTTTAAAACTCTGATCCTAACATCCGTAGGCGCAGCCTTGGGATCTGAGCGTTTGGGGATAAAGCAGAGTGTACGTTAGGTACCCGGTGGTACCGTGGAGGTCAGACAGACAGAGGGACATCCTTCGGTCCCCCCCTTGCCATGGCTCTCCCGTCGCAGCAGTGCTGGACTGCTGTGGCCCCACATGCTGGCTCTGCTATCAGCTGGTTTCCCGGCCAGCCCCATCTACTGGCAGCATTTTCATGGGGATAAATCATCTCCTTTTCTCCCTCTTTAAGTTCAGTTTCTGAGGATTTCCAAACTGGATAAAATAAAGCAGCCGTGACAGGCCAATTCTCAGCCTCCTGGCCGCCCTCGTTTGGGCTGAGCAGACCCTACAGCCACGCAAATACACGGAACAGCATCACTTACCTCCATCCCCCTCACTTTCTCCTTGACAGGAGCACACTTTAAAAGCTGACTGTTGTTTTTTTTTAGCACTGCTTCCACATGAAGGGTGGGAACCCCCCCATATTTCACTCAGCCAGCCATCATGAGAATATTTGCGAGCCAGTTAACGTGCTGCTGCGAGGATCACGGCAGCAAGGAAGGGGTCTGGCTCACCTCCCTCCCCGAGTGAAGGGTACTGACAAATCCAGCCCCCTCCTGCTGCAACTGCCTGGGCACCGTTAGACCCGAGAGTTACAAAACTACCTGTTATTTCCACATCCGTTAATCTGAGTTTGGCCAGAACCTGCTGTTGATCCAGTTGGGTTTTTACCTCCTCTTACACATCACCTGCTTGTATGTAGAAATCTGCAGTTATTGGTGAAGCAATTCAGACATGACAGGGCAGGGACTAGTTTTTTTGTTTGGTGTTTGGTTGTTTTTAACTTGTCCCACCCCTCGGGAGACAGGCAGGAACACATTTGTGTCTAGGGTGTGATAGGGAAGCTTCGGTCGTCCTGGTTTACCTCCGTATAAAGCCCATTCAGATCCTCCCAAAACTCAAAACTATTGCACAAGTTTTCAACTGAAACTAGAAAAAACCCAACCCTGGTAGTGCATGGACAGGTAAAGCAGAGACAATGGTGCAGTCGGGTGCTCGTGGAGCTTTTCCAGTAACAGCCTCTCAGCTCAGTCCAGATTTGTTACCGGTGCTCAGCTTTTACCCTGATTCCCACCGTTTCTGCCCTTATCCCTTCCTGTTGCCCTGTCTCCTCTGGGAGAAGATGCCCAGTTGGAGGATGTATCTCAGCACCAAGATTGCAGATTTTCTTGAAATGGCTGTGCCCTGTTTGTGCCCCCTTGACTTCAAGCCTACAGTCACGGATGTCAGCTGGCTTATCTACCTTACTTCTGGGTAATCCTGAAGTCCCACTGATGCTGCAATGCAAGGAACTAATACATATTTCTTTAAAAACGAAGCAGTCGGCAGCAAACCACGTTATCCTAACAGGCTAAGGATAACCATAGTGCAGAGTCTTGGATGCTACAGGCACAGAAAGAAGGTGAAAAGAGAGTGAAACAAGCTGGCTGCTGTTCTGCATGACCAGGTGGAGAGTTTTAAAGAAAGATAAGCTGAGCCAGTGGCATGTTGCAAACAGGACCCCAAGCTGGGGCCTTACCAGGGAGGCACAAGAATCCAGTCCAGGATGAAGCAAGGCCCTTTTTTTGGCCATTCGTAGCACCTCCCATCTGAGTGCTCTACAGAAGTCAGGGGCAAAAAAATTTAACGTGGTTTATTGGAATAGAGCCAGAGCTCATCTGAGGTGAAATCTTACTGTCTTCTGCACTCAAAGCGTTATCTGGTGTGACAGAGAGCAAGGGAGAGGCTCAGTGACTTGGGCCAAGCAGGCAGAGCCCGGAACAGAATCTAACGGCCAAGCCTCTTTTTTCCAATGCCTGGAACTGGATTTTTGTGCCAAAACAATCAGTGCTATGAACACGTCCTGAGCACGAGTGCCAACCGACTGACCTTGGGTGGGATCCTGCCCTGAAACATTTACAACCTCTGTCTGAGCAAGTACTCACAATCTTCCCCTGAGTAGCCGATGAAGGTGTCAGGCTCCGGTGCTCTACCAAAGTCGTTCTCTGCTTGCACTTTGATCTCGTAGGGTACGTAGATGGGTGTGTTCCAGACGACGTGCCTCGGCATCTTCACTGTCTCATTGTACCAGCTCCCTCGGGGGTCCCTGCGCCTCCATCTCACGATGTACCTGAGGTTCGGCCCGTAAGCTTGAGTTGCGTTCAGAGGCTTGATGGACCGAAACAGAAAAAGAAAGTGAGAAGGAGAAAGAGCAACTGTGTTTCTCTGCCATGGAGCTCCAAAAAGTTCTGTTCAGCAGCTGGTTCTTATTTCACGCTCCATCAGCGAATCTCAAAGGAAGTCAATATTTGTGTTCCCAGAGAGACACATACCTCGTCCTTGCCCTCTAGACCCAAGGCAGGACCAGGAGCCATACCCTTATATTCCCTCTGCAATTTCTATCCTCCTTACAGATGCTGGCTTATTGGTGGATGACACCTGCTGGCCCATGAAGAAAAGCAAGAGCTGGTCTGTAAGCCTTACGTACTGCTGAAGGAATCGGACTCTCTGAGCATCCTCCGCAACCTTAGCTGTGATCCAGCATCTTTTCTTCGGCTTACATTGCTGCAAATTATTGTTTTGATCACAAACCTTCTTCTAACACTAGCAATGGCCTCTCTTGTAGATGCAGCTTCTGCTTTTTATCTCCTTTATCGTCATTAAGGTTACGGTATTCTGTGTGGTAAATCACACATTGCTAAAGACTCTGAGTTCTGGAGATCCCGGCGCCTGTGACCGTCATGGCAAGGTGCTGGGTCGCTGTGAAGCATCAAAGAACAACTCACCGTCCAGGTTATCTCCATGTTGTTTTTTTGGGTCCCTGCACCTTGAACTCCTGTTGGGTTAATCTCAGGACCTGAAATTCATATTGAAAAAAAAAATGCAGTTTATAATGTTGAAAAATTACCATTTGAGTGGTTAAAAACCCTTTACTGTGCAAGCCAAAAGTACTTCCAAGACAGAAGTTAATGGCCTGATTTTTCCAGAAGTTCCCATTCAGGTTAATGGAACATGAGACTCTCAGCACTCTTGAAAACCAGGCCATTTATTTAGGAGCCACTTTTTTTTTTTTTTTTTTTTTCTGCAAATGTCCTAAATCTTTGAAAGACAGCCATTGTGAAGCAACCCCAGGAGCCGAGTCTGACACTTTTGAAATCTGAAACAAGAAGAGTAATGTCGAAAGCCAACACTAGATGCCAGTAGATATTGCAGAAGCATCTCTGCGATGGTTAAATTAAGAAATGCAGCAAAACTACTAAGCTTCTTGTGAATCCCTCGTATGAATTTTCCCAACTATTCTACAACGTACAAAGCACTGGGCACAAAAAATGAAGACCCAAGTCTCGGTCGTGGACTGGAGCACACTTTACTCCTGAATCGATCTGGGCTCCTGGCCAGCTCTAGCTGCAGACAATGAATTAGCAATTTTGGAACAAAATGCCTTTTGCTTGTGGCCAGTTTACACTTGAGTCTAGTTTTCCAAGAGACTTCTGAGCTTCCTGTGGTCAGAAAGGATGAAAGACTTTCTTTAGAAAGCCTCTCTGTAAGGTGAACCCAGGCTTTTCTTCAATGGATTCTGCTGAAATGACCTTTGCACAAACCTTTCCGTTTGGATTTTGCTGCTCTGCAGAATATCAAGCAGTCGTGGGCTTGAGGATGTGATATATAAAATTACACCCCAGCCCAGGACTGCGTGGACCAGCTCATTCCCTCGCCTGTGTAAACCTGTTCCTGTTACAGGAGCTGTGATCGTGCACCACAAGGGAAGGGTCTACATGGAGAGTGGTGGCCAGATGCTCAGACCAACGCCAAGACACCCCGGCAAAAGGGACCGTGCGGACGGTACTCACGTGCCCCGTTGGTCTGGTATCGTTCGGAGGGCGTGCTGGGCAGGCTGCTGCCCACGTCGTTCACTGCAATCACCCGAAACTGGTAGTTGACGTACGGAGAGAGGCGCAGGACGGCCGAGTTGACACTCCCGGGGTACCTGGAGTGGTTATGCCACATGCCAGGTTGGAACCGGTCCTCCTCAAACTGGACGATGTAGTCTGGGAGAGAGGTTGGAGAGGTGAGGTTAAGGGCTCCTCTCACAAGGAAAGTTTTCCCTCCACCCAGCAGAAGAAAGCAGGTGGGATACGGGGCAGAGGGTCCGGCGGCTGACCTGTGATGGGGCTGTTGTTGTCATCACCAGGAATCCACGTCAGTCGCACGCTCCTCTCGGCCAGGTCTGTCAGCTCCAAGTCACGGGGCCGGTCGGGTCGTTCTGTTGGCCGAGTAACGAGACAAATTAGGCTGGGATTGCCCCAGGAGCAGGGAGTCCCAGTTCCCATCGCTTCTCCCGGGAGGGGAAGCCCTGGCCATCTTAGCCCAGACCCGTGGGAGGACACATGCTCGGTGGCACGATTCACGTCCTGCAGCTCTTGGTGGACCAGAGCAATTTTTTAAATACAATTGTGCCTTGCCTTGAAACCCTACCTGCCCCCTGTACGACTGATGTTATCTGGTGGTGGAAGCACGATCTAGTGGCTCAAAATGGTCTTAAAACAAACTACAGGCAGCTGTCCAAAAAATAGATGCAAACAATAGAACAGGAAGGACATAAAGCCTCAATGAAAATACATACTTGTTAGAAATGGTCTGGGCACAATTCTGCTTTCTTTATGTGGTCACAACCCCCATGGTCGCACAGAACCAGGTCATGCCATAACAGTAATCACTTCTTTCCAGGTAAAGGTCAAGGGATTCAGCGTGGGGTTCTTTTCTCCCATCAGGGCTCACCATTTCCAGGTCTGAGTAAAGTGATTCTTGCACTCAGGAATTGGCACTGTGGCACACGAAATGATGTGGCACACGAAATGATGTGGCACACGAAATGATGTGGCACACGAAATGATGTGGCACACGAAATGATGTGGCACACGAAATGATGTGGCACAGGACCTTTCTGCCCACAGCCATCTGGATGGGTTTTCAAGGACAACTTGGACAGCACTTGGAAGCATCAGCTCCCAGCTTTTTCAGCTGCTACACCTGGATTTTCCGTTGGCGTTATTAGCAAGGCAAAACAAAATCAATTTACAAAATAAAATAAACCCAATGAATTAGTGATGATTACCTTTCGGTAACTCTCTCACACGGTTAGCAGGGGTGGCTGCAAGGTAAGACATTGGTTGTTAACGGTGTTAGTTTAGTCATTAAGTGTGGGTGGCCAGAGGAGCACCTGGCAAATATAAAGTTACACAGAGTTACAGGTTTCAGAAGGATCCAATCCTGCCCGGGGGCTGCAGTCCTTCCCCCAGAGACCTCCAGGCGCGCTCTGCACACCTTTATTCATACTTCTAGTACACAGCAAAGGGGGAGCATCAGCCTGCTAGAGAGTTAATTAGCTATTAGGGGAAAAGGAAGGGAAATAAATCAAGCCTGGTCAAATTATTAGGGATATGGGAGTCACATTGCACCCTGACTTTTGTAGGGCACTGCGGGTCTGTGCCAGCAGCGCCGGCAGGTCGGGGCAGTCCCGTGAATGCAGCACGTCAGCAAGAGCTGAGGTGGCCAAGCGCAGGGATTGATAAATGGGTGTTCTGCAGGTAGGTCTTGCAGTGTGCGCAAAGGGGTGTGGGGAATGGGCTTAGAGTGTGACTCCCTGTCTTGAAAAGGGGACCTGCAAGGCCAGGGGTGGCTCGGGGTTCTAGCGTTGCTCAGCACCGTGACACTCACTTAAATTCACTCGCAAATTTAGGACTGTTCTCACTGAGCTTCAACGTCCACACTTGGATATTTTTAGCTGCATGTAATGACTACTCCTTTTTTTTTTTTTTTGTCTCAAATTCAAGTTTTCTTCGATTCAAATTCAATGCCATTGTCCGAGTCTGAGATTAGGCAGCACGTCCTCGGTGAGTCCTGCAGCAACGGAACAATTGCTCTGCCAGCATCTCCCTGAGCATCTCTGCTTCAGAGGACAATTCTGTGATCACAGATCACCCTCTCAGTCTGACCTTGAAGTCAGCCTGTTGTATTAAAAATAAAGCACTTGGCTCTGCGTCAGGACGTTGGGAGGACAGCTTTACCTAGCACGGTGAGGTACGCTTTCGCCGAGTCCTTGTCCAGCTCCGTGCTCGCTACGCAGGTGTAATCCCCTTGGTCCTTTTCAGCCACCCCATATATTGTCAGGCCATCATCTTCTTTCTTCATCCTTAAACGGATGAAAGCGATAATCACACAACTGGGCCTAAGCACATTAGGCAGCAGGACTGAGGTCTAACTGTTCTCTGATAAGACACATGTAAAAGCCCGAACAGAACAGGAGTACGTCTCTGGTCGGAAGATTTTATCAGCTAAGGATGTGTTGAGCTATTCTTGGAAACCTCATTTCCTAAGGAATCAGTGAATGTGCTCTGGTGTGTATCTGGAATAATCACGCTTTCAGGAGAACAGTCTGACCGCTGACTGCCTCGTGTCCTGTGATCAGATCTCGCTCCACGAGAAGGGAGTCAGCTATGGAAAGGAAATTACAACGGTACCTCTCACAGCAGATAAACATTAATTTTTAAGTAGCTTGTTATTAACCTGCCTGTTTTATCAATATGTCCTAAAATATCTGTAAATAAAACCTATAGTCAAAGTCTTGATTTACTGATAAGTCACTTTTAATTGCTAGGCAGTGTCTGTTGGAAGGAGCTAGTACTACTGAAAGTATTGAGAACAGCAAATCTTGCCTAGATGGGAGCTCAATGTTTATCCATATTATCCCTGGTGATTCCTGAAACGTTCTGTAAAAAAATCCAACAATCCTGGGAAAGGAGACCCGTGAAAGTGTTAAACACAGACCTGTTCCCCATGTACAGGGGCGCATCGTCTTTCAGCCAGGTGACCGTGAGTTTCAGCGTAGGGTCGTGCTTTATACGGCAGTGGAGGCGAGGCATGGAGCCCCTCTTCACCACTTGATCTTCTGGTCCTCTCACGATCCTGGTTGGGTCTGCACAAAGCCAGAAAGCAAGTTCTAGGCACCAAGCTGCTGGGTCTTAGCTCAGGAGCTCAATGAAGATTTTTTTTTGGTGTTACTTGGAAAGGACCAGCATGCACATCAAGCGTTTGTCCAGTTTGCTGTAGTGAACTGCCTCTGATTGCAAATAAATTAATTTAACAAGCCATCAATTCATGCTGACCCTTTTAAAAATACCCAGTTTTCTGAGTCAGCATCAGTTCTGCTGAACAGGGAAAGCCCCAGTGGAAACTTGATTCAGGAAGGGTTTTATTGCCATCGGTTAACCCTGAGGAACGTTTTGTATTTCTTTTTGCATTGCTTAGGGCATCTCACAGCTCAACATCCACACCAAGCCCTCCTACAGCTTTGATGTATTGACAGTCTTGGGGTTTTTTTTTTCCAATATTAAAAGGGAATCTCCATTTTTCTGGATTCCAGCTCCAAATTACGTCGGGCCTCTCCTGCTGGAGCGCACAATTAACCCTCCCTTAACCCAAACTATTATTTCTGCTGCAAGTGTCACAAGATCCAAGAGACCATTTTAACCCAGAGCCCTTTGTGCCCTTACCTTTGACTTCCAGGCGAACCTGGGCCTCCGCTTTACCCAAGATGTTGGTGGCGACGCAAGTGTAGATGCCCTGGTCCTCCTTCCGAGCCATGTTCATCTCCAAGCTCCCGTTCTCATGTGCCTTGTAGTTCCCTCCATCCAGCGTGTTCCCCTGGCCATTCTTAAACCTCACAACACCACAAAGTGCTATTGTAAGGGCAGAAAGAGCAGGAAACCTCCCTTTCCACTCCTCTGGACTGGCAGGGGATGTGCTGCAGCTCTTACCATCTCAGGGTGGGGATCGGCGAGCCGAAGAAGGGGCAGTCGAGTCGGGTCCGGTTGTTTTGAATCACCTTGATGAGCTGATTGCGAGGGGCCAGTATCCGTGGAGGCACATCTGCAAACAGCAAAAATCACAGCCGTTGAGAAAGAAAAGAAACCAGGTTCCAGACTGCTGCTTCCAGTCTTTTCATCCACCCGCCCTTCTCTTTTGTTCACTCCTCCTTGCTGGCACGTTCAAGACTCGGTAGAGCTTCTCCACTCCCTCTCGTCTCCCCTTCCCTTTCTCGCCTCGCTACATGAACCAGCTTCCATCTTAGCGCCAGCAGGACTCGCTCAGCCTTGCCTGGCTTTGCAGGACCACGGCAAGGCACTTCTGCCCCAAAGCCCGGTTGCAAAGGTCACGTACCTTTGTGCGGTCGCTTCAGAGCAGCTAACAGCAAAGGGGAAGGCAGAGACCTCTTTCAGGCAAAACCGAGCGTAGGGTGTTCTCCTTCCCTAGGTACTCACCCAGGACACTGACAAAGGCGTTGGCGAGGAGGTAGCCGTGCTCGTTGGACGCGTTGCACTGGTACACAGCGCTGCTGCCGATCTGGGTATCTCGAAATACGATTGTGTCTCCAGACACCTCTCGGCTCGGGTTGGGGGGAGAAGCTTCAAAACAGAGCGCGCTCTTTAAATTCAGTTTTAAAGTAAAATTCAGCAGACAAGAGCATTACACGCAGCTCCTTCTCAGCCCAGATAAAACCAGACGATGGTACGTGACCTCCCCCAGCCTACAAAGACACGGTTCCACTGGCCTTGCCTCAGACAAGCAGGTGGTTTAGGTGCTGCGACGCCAGAGCCCACGCACACCGCTCGGCAGGGTGCCTGGCACCCCGACAGCAGCTCTGGCTCTCACGGTCAGCCACGAGATCCTTGGCTAGGGCTTTGGTAAAGGAGGGGCAGATTCTTCCCTCGTCCTGCCGCGCCCCCCCCCAGCCACTGTATCGCAGGCTTGGGGTTCCCGTTGGCTCGACACACCAGCCTGCCATCCTCGCCAGGGGCCAGAATGAGGTTTTGGGGTTCGTCCAACCAGTATGGAGCAGCTTTAAAATACACCAACGTGTTATAAAAGCAGCAGCAGTACTACCTCACCCAAAAATCCCCTCTCCGCTGCTCCCTGCTGGCTTGACAATGAAAACACTGGCCTCTCGAGTGGGCTTCCCTGGGTGCAGCGAGGGTGGAGAGTCCTCTTTCCCCCCGCACTCTTGGGACACGCACAACCATGTACATCAGTGAAGCTCTGCTGAGTTACGCCAGCTGAGATCCCGTCTCACGCTGCTTTTGGGTCAGTTTGGGCAAGAAGCAAATATGGCTGGATACAGCACAGGGCCGGCCCCCGCTGCCCCTTTCGGCAGAGCAGAGCATCCCCTCCTGTGCACGTCCCCTCACAGCCGCTGGCTGCGAAGATAAAAAAGATGGCAAGGTAAAGCCGACGCACCCTTCACCCTCACTGAGATCGTGTGGCGGATGCTGCCCATCTTGTTCGACGCCAAGCAGAAATACTCCCCGGAGTCTTCCTCAGAGACGTTGGAGATACGAAGAGCCTTGTTGAAGTTTTCCAGCTTGGTTTTGCCTGCTGGGAGCTCTCCTCCTTTCTTGTACCACATGATGTCTGGTGCTGGTCTAAGGAGAGGGGAGGAGATAAATGCTTTTGCGAGCCAAGAAAATGACTCAAGCACTCGCAACACCCAGGGAGAAGCACTGATCCAACCGCTGGGCCACCCTCATCCTGCCACAGCCCCTGAACCAGGACCCTGAGCATCACCAGCTGATCAGGAGCCGGGTCCGTCTCACGCCTCGCGTTTGGGGCTGCAGAGCGCTGGGCTGGCAGCGTGGGCAGGCAGCACCAGGCAGCACGCCCCGGGAGGGCTGCCAAAGGCTGACCCCGAGCCCAGGATGCATCTTGCAGGCACGTGGCCCACCAGTGTCCTCACCCAGAGTTGATACACGTGGCGAGGCGCGCCCAGGAGGTTTGCAAATAGCTCTAAGGACAAACCAGTGGGGAATTATCCCCGGACAGCAAGTATCGGCAGACACCTGCTTCTCTGAACAGTGCTGCAAAACTCAGCTCTCCTGTTGGCTCCGTGCTCTTGGGCTTTAAGTAGGTTATGAGAGTATTGTTAATAGCAGTTAAAAGGAAGGGAACGAGCCCTCTGCCTAGCCAGAGGTATTGCCACTGGTGATTCAGCATCTTGGCCCCAAGCCGTCCCACCGGGGATCACCCTCTCCCCACCTCCACCGGCCGGGAAGCGGTACGTACACTCCTGAAGCAATGCACTCCAGCAAGAGGTCCACCCCTCTGAGCACCATCTGACTGCTTGAGGTCCCGTAGGGATACATGAAGCTGGGAGTTGTTTCCGTAATCCCTCGGGCTGAAATCAGCAGGAGAGAAAAAAAAAAAAAACAAACACAAAAAAAAAAAAAAGAAAACCAAAGTGCTTTTAAACTCTCCTTTGCCACAGCAATGGGGAGGGCACGTAGAGGGCCAGAAATACATGGTGTTTGTGGGGGGGGAAGGTGGCAAGTTCCTGGCCAAGCCTGGGCTACTGAACTCGCCCAGAAACGTACCTGGAAAGTAGAGAAGGGCTCAAGGTAGTTTTTAAAGTTTAAAGAAAAAAAAAAAAAGAGGGGGGCAGAGAGAGGATGCTTGTCAGGCAGGGAGGTAACGAAGCAGCAGAGGATGGGCAGAGGGAGCTGAGCCGCAGAGGTGGTGCGTCAGGAAAGTCCCCGCACCACCAGGTCCTGCCGGGGCAGCACCTTTCCTGCCCACCCCTGCCTCTAGCACAAAGAAATGGGCTGAAATCAGATGAGACTTGGAAATACTGATGGGCAGAACATGTGATGGAGGACGAAAGGCACAAATGGGCACAGGAAGGGTTTACTCGGACATCTGAGCCGCTTTGCCACCGAGATCTCCGAAATACGGAGGATCCCGGCGCTGGCTGGGGCTCTAGCAGCACCAAGGAGGTTTGCCACCCTTACTGGGAGCTGCGGGGTCTGGAAGGACAGTGCCCTTTGGGAAGGAAGAACTTAGCGACAAAAATGACAGATTTCAGGACTGGACAGGAAAGTTTAACAGGAAAAAACCAGGGGAAGACACAAGACAACCATCTACAGATACACACAGTGAGGGTCTCTCTGTAGGGGGGAAAAATTAATTATTAATGGAATAAATTCCATTAATAAGTGGAATTATTAAACTAGATGTGGATCAGTGAGGCTGAAACAGGATGAGATGGGCTTGAAAGCAGCGGTAGCAGAGACAGAGGTTATGAGATTAGGAAAGGGGACAGAACAGCCAGGGTTGGCACAGGGTCACTACAAATATCGAAGCGACCCGTGGGGAGAGGCCCCCCCAGTGCAGGAGCAGGATCTTGGGGTGCAGCCCAAGATCCAAAAGCTTTGTTCAGTCAGCGAACAGGAGGCAGCCAGGCATGCCCAGCGCCACGGGGCTTTTGGGGGTACCCACGTCTACTTGGGAAGCCCCCACCTGAGCTGTGGTAGGGGAAAAGGGCTGGGAAGGAGAAGGGGAGAGAGGGCAGGGGCTGTTCACGGGGTTCCCATCAGCCTGCCCTAGGGGAAGGCTGGGACCAGGCTCACAAGGGAAAAAAACGAAAAGACCAACCCCAGTTAAACCGTGCCTTTGAAACGACTCCACGTCTGCCAGAGCGCAGCCACACGCACGCATCCCGCCGCTCCCACGGGTTACCGCTCCGCTCGTGCTCCTCAGCGGGGTTAGTCAATTATTTGATTAATAGATTATTACCAGGGCAGGCAAATCTTGTCCTTATCCTGAAGGGCCAGCTCTCTGGGCAGGCACAGGCTGCCGTTTGCCTGCCTGCTGCTGGGTCTTGTTCCCAGTGAAAACCAGCCAGCCCGTGCCGGGGCTCTGCCGGGGGGTGACAGAGCCAGCGGCTGGGTTTAAAGCTGGTGTTTCTCATCAGCTCCCACATCTCCAGCCAGACTCGTGAACTTCTCTCTTCTCACGTGATTAGCAGAGTGGGGTATTATTTGATAAGCCAATATTGGCTTTTATTAGCCAACAGTCTGCAGCCCGTTTGAACAGGCTGTTTCACACCCACAGTGAAGCTATTTGCTCAGGAGCCCGGGGCATAACTAGAAGAGAGGAGCAGCAGTGCAAGCCAAATTTTACGAGCCATATATTAATGATGAAAATTAAAAATAAGGGAGATAAATTAGTATCCTACCCACTTGTTTAATAAGCCTAACAACAACACTGCATAGCTGATCAGCTTTTTGCCTTAGCACAGCACTACTAATAAATATTTTGCTATTTATACTAGGGAGTGGCCAGAAATTCTCTCAGGCAGAGGTACTGCTCCAGCCCTGAACTCGCGGCGGCTACACCTGGAAGCTGTCAGACAAATAGCGACGTCTCACTCGTCTGGATGGAACAGAACTGGAAAAATACATCCCATGGCTATTTATTTCTGCTCAAAAATAGACTCGGCTTCCAATATATTGCTGCTGTTTTCCCCGCCTCTGTGAAACCGGACCCGTTCAGCTGTGAACAGGGTACCCCAGAAACGGCCATTTCTCACCCCAGAGCAGCCAAGTGCCCCCTCCCCACAGTCCTGACCTGATGGTGTTTAAAAATGGTACGTCAGCCCGCATTTCTACCAAAAGGCGATAATAGGAATCTGCACATCCAGACACATCCCATCTGTTTGCCTCCTGCACAGCGAGCCAGCTTTGAAACACCCCGCAGGTTTTTTTTAAAAAAAAAAAAAAAAAAAAGAACAAAACAGACTTTCGTTTCCATTTTAAAAAAAGGCGAGAAACTTTTGCTAATAAAATATTCTATGACTCCTTTTAGATCATTTTTCCTTCATAATTGCAGACAGTTTGCCCAGGCAATTAAGCTTTGCAGCAAGGAGACCACTGCACCCGCTCCGAGCCGTGGGGAGAAGGTTGCACCTCCCACAACTAGCCTGGCCCTCGAGTGCAGTTTGGGACAAGTGTCCCACCAACCTCTCGTGCCCCACGTCCGCGCCAGCAGGTCCCTTGTCCCCGAGATGAGCCCAGGCACATCCATCGCAGCCGGGCAGGGAAGGGGACTTGCAGCCCCCTCGCTTTGCCGTGCGCCCCCAGCCTGCCCCATCGAGCCTCCCTGCAAGCTCCGCAGAGCCCTTTGCCAGCCGGCTCTGGAGCTGAGCCCGTACCACAGGGGCCGGCACCCCAAGGAAGAGGGTCTGAGAGCCCCAAGTCTCCCAAACACCTAAAATATTTGGGAGGCTGATGGCCCTCTTCCCCGCTCCCCACCCCTAAGACTTCTTTGCTTTGCTGCAGCTGGTTCCAGTGGCCAGTACAGCCAGACTGGTCATTCCAGGCAGAAACGCGGGGACAGCAAAAAGAAAAAGGGGCTGAGGGTAAGAAATTTTCCACCAGTTCATGAACGATTAAGAAATTGCTGGGTTGGAGCTCAGATTTGCACCGAGGTGTGAGTGGGTGATTTGAGTCCACTGGACCCATAAAGCGTTCCGGGGGATGTGAAGTGCCAATAGCCCATAGAGCGCAAAGCTCAGGCAGTTCACCCTGTGCACCTTTGAGGAGGAATCTGGAGAAATCTCTGAGGCTGTGCAGGTAAGATCTCATTTTCCTAACCGAGTGACTGTTAAGCATCCCTTTTCCCTGAACAAAGACGTGCAGTGGGAGATCCAGAAGCCCACAACCACCGCGGTGACTTTCCCTCCGGAACCTGCGAGGGCTGCAAACACAGAAACAGCGCCCAGCCAGCGTGAGGGCCTTCTGTTGGAAATGCAAACGTCGTTCACGCTGCTGAGGTGCACGATATGTTTACAGGAGAGCTCGCCACTGGATTTCTCTTTGGTCCCTGGCCCTGTGAGAGAGGCACCTCCTCCCGCTCGCCTCTCGATGAGGCGTGATGCAGTTTATGCGGTTCCCAGCGAAGCTGACTTTGCTGGCAATCCCTTTTCGTGGCCATTTCTACAAATATTTTCAGACTACGCCCAGCCCATTTGTGGCCACCAAGGCTGGTTCCTCTGCTGAGCCTTCCCCAGCTCTCCAGCATCCTCAGCAACTTCCCAACTCCTGGCTGCTGGTGAGATGCCAACGCCCCGGTTCCCTCGGCGGGGAAGGGATGCCCGAGCTGCCCGCTGGCACGAGAGGGCTTTTCCCGGGGACACCGAACCCAGTGCCCTCGCCTGGCACATCCTCCTCTTCTCACGCTCCAGCTCTCCGCTCTGAGCTGGCAAAAGCACCCCTTGTCCCCAAAAGTCCCCGTGGAAGAAGAACACGTGCCCGGGATCATGCGGAGCACAAAGAAACCTGTGGCTCTGGGTGGAAGAGGAGGAGACAACGGCTGAGCGGGGTTTCACTGTGGGGCAGGGCTGGGGACCAGCACAGAGCGTGGCTGGGGTTGTTCCCATCCTGCCCCCGCACAGCCCTGGTCCCTGTAAGCAGCAAGAGGGGCAGAAAGCAAATCCTGCCCCTGACAGCACCCGGCCTTGGGGCAATCGGACTCCGCGGTGGTCTTTGAAGAGGCGCTCGCATCCCTGGTAGCGCCTGCGCTCTCGGCATCGCCCGCAAACAGCCCCAGCTCCCCACTCCCCTGCACGCCCCTGCTGCTGCCCAGCTTCGCCCGCCTTAGCCCGTCACGTCCATGACGCTTCCAATCCATTCTCAGGGCAGCGATTGTGCCCCGGGGAGCCGCGTGGTTTTGTGTCTGGAGCATAATTGATGAGTTTGGGATGGGCTTCTCTCGGCAAACGCAGGCTCCGGAGGTAATCTCCCTGCCCAGACAAAGGGCAAGAGCCTCGCGAAAGCATCCGACACGTGGACAACCTCACCACAAAGAAACAAAGCACCCAGCTTTTGAGAAAACCAAATACTCCTTTTTTTTCTTTTCCCCCCTCCCAGCCTCTGTCTATGTTTAGCTGCAAACACAATAGATGCTCTTTCTGAAGACAGAGAGAAGAGGGATGGTGGGTCTTATCTTTAAATTATGAGCCTTCGCTGAGGACAAGCCACCTCGTCAGCGAGGAAGCAAGCTGGGCTCGCTCAGCCACGCAGGCTCCTTCACGTGGGCCAGATCCTATTAACCCAAACGCCTCTCAAGCTGGGCTCTGCGTATCCAGTTAATTAGCTTAAAACTCAATAAATTTTAAATTCTGAAAACCTCGAGAGGATATTGCCGCCGTTTGGCTCGTTTTGTCCCACCCGGTTTTGCAAAGTGGAGGCCGTAACCCACGAAGGGGGACAACGGGCACGACACAAGGGGTGCGTGGGCACGGACGAAGGGCAGACAGTGCCGCGAGCGCGGCGGCTCGCTGCCCGGTTAGCGCGGGAGATAAGTCGGGTTAGGCAGAAGGGGGTTAAATCGTGAAGGTCCCCAGAAGCCAGCGTTGACTCACCACTGTACATGTCAGTGTGATTTCGTAAAGACGTTTCGTTATGGGGTTTCTCTGCAATAAACAAAAGACCGTGAGAGTACCGGGTGCCACAAAGCGGGCGGGGGGACAGGCGGTGCGGGGAGGGGACGGGGGACAGAAAACAAAATAACTTCCCGAAACACAAGAGCAATGCGGACAGGAGACAGCGGGGATACAAAAGCACTCTGAGCACAGCTGCCTTCCAGGACAAACAACATAACACAGCAATAAAGGAGAGGAGACGAGGGCTGTTTTCCTCCTAGGAGACGAAAGGACAAATAAACGTATGAAAGTTGTATCATAAACATTTTCTTGGAGCGTTTTTCTTTCCGTTGTATCTTTGACAAAAACTTCCTTTCAGTTTGAAGAATAAAAATGTTTTTTTTTTCTCTCAGTTTCTCAACTATGAGGGAAACATTCTGGCTACTTTTTCTCAGCGTAAAGCACAGGCTGGACTCAACTAGGCAGCAGCGTAACGATGCAGAAAGGCATGGCGAAGATGAACAAATAAAAATAATGACTGGGCTCTAAAAGCATAATCTACTGTAAAATCCCTTTGAATTACAAGGTATTTAAAGTGGATTGCGTTACATGCAAAATACCAGCTCTCCAATAACGCGCTGCTCTCATTTATTGACAACCACCCCCAGCCATCACTTGTACTTGAAGAAAAACCTATTTGCCACCCGTCCTCTGCGAGGAGCAGGGGGGACGCACCATCCTGGCCAGTGGCTGCTGCAGGATCTGCCCTCCTCAGCCCACAGCCCTGCCTGAAATACTGGTTTGGTGCCTGAGAACGCCCTGGTTTCCACCAGGAGGTGGCACAGCCATATTATGGTATCATCTGCCCAGACAGGAGGTGTGAGAGGCTATGGTGGCTACCATATAGTTGTTGCCCTGACCCCTTAAGCCATCACACGTTGTGTCTCTGTGGAAGAGGGTTAAGAGAGCCCAGCAGATTGCCCAAGAGCTCCCTGAACCTGGATACACCAGAGAAACTCTCTGCAGGGAAAGGCAGGGGCTGTATCGCTCGCCCAGGCCTTTGCATTTTTCTCTTCTTGCATCCAAGGGCACGGCAATCCCATGCAATCATTTTTTTAGCAGCTGGTGAACTTCTTTTTTTAAGGACAGCCGATGCTCGTGGCTAAATGCCGAGATGATTGAACAGCTTGAGTCAAATACAAGCTTGTCTCCTTTGAACATCGTACGTATAAAGAATTTTTTGTCTCGTAACAGTTGAGAAATTAGAGCCTCAGTTCTTTAAATTATAAGGACCTCAGGGGGGCTTGTGGGGTGGCGTTTGCATCTGATAATACAGCAGATGTTTCCAAAGGAAAACTTAAAGAGAGGGTCCAGTATAACTGGATGCCAATTCTGCATAGCCTGGGAGCAAACCACTGCGGTGGCATCTGAGCCCAGCAGGAGGGGGAGCTTGTATCTGTCTGCACAGAAATCTTCCAGGATTTCTTCCACTTTTTTCCTAGAGCTTGGCAAATATGTCAGACTGGAGCCTTTGGAGGCTTCAATGATCACAGATCTTTGCCAGAATTTCTCCAGCTCACAGTAATTTAGAGCTCAGTCCTTCCCTAATAGGTAAACATTAGCATTGTTTGCCCAGCTCTGTAAACAGACAAATAATATTCGGAATTAATTACCTACACACAGTCCTCACCATTAGCAAAGAGCCTGTTCATAGTAGTTATATTGCTGATTCTCTACTCACGCTTTGCACAGAGGAGACGCTGTTACAATAAAAGCCCAAAACACTCCAGGCCTCCTCTGCCTCTCACATGGCTTTCAGGTCGCTTTAATAGCATTACTTCTAATTTAAGCTGCTGCAAGATCAAATTAAGCTCCTAACGCTGCGATTCAGGAGCTCCTCGTGCCTGCTTTGCACAAGAGCCCGCTGCCCGAGACACAGCCTTGCATCTGCCAGCACACGCTACCCCTTCCTCCCAGTCAGACCTTACTGGGAATGGGAAATGGCTCCTGTCTCATGACTGGGGCTTGCAGATGCCATTTCTGTGTCAACTGCTGATTGTGCTCTTGCGC